CTGGCATGCAGCCCAGTGCTTGGGAAGTAGGTGACTGCCTATGACCTGGGAGAGTACATGGGGCCCACAGGACAGCTGTCAGCTGGAATGACAAAAGTGGTTCTTCTTGGGGCTGCTGCTGACCACCTTTCTCTTGGTCCATCCTCTCCGAGTGCTGCCGGCCTCTGGGCCTGGAATACAGGCCCAGCATGGCCTCTCACAGGGAACTGTGTCTCTAGGGACGCTCAAACCCTCCTGGGGTTCCTGAGCCCAGGGCTGGGGCCTGGTCCTCAGGGAGCCCCTCTGGCCATGGTGGTCACTCAAGAGGCAGTTTCCCATAGTAATTCCAGGTGGTGCTGGGTGGGTGACCTTGGTCCTTCCTGTTTGCTGCAGCACTGCCCTTTATTATTCTGTAAAGAACATGACCGAAGTGAGTCATGGTGGTATGCACCTGTGATCCCAGGTGCGAGGGAGGTGTGGGTAGGGTAGGAGGAAGGGATCCGAGGTCATCCCAGGACAAAAGTATGAGACCCTATCCAAAAAATAACTAAAGCAAAAAGTGCCAGAGGCATGGCTCAAGTGGTAGAGCACCTACCTAACAAATGCAAGGCCCTGAATTCAAATTGAGTACCACCAAAATAAAATAAGAATGGGACTGAAGTGCCCTCACCACCCTTGTCCTCCCTGTTGGGATTGTGGAGCAGAGGGGCCTCTCCAGGCCCAGAGATTCAGAGACACCTGCTGCGGCCAGCACTGGCTCTGCCTCTTTTTATTCATCTGTTAAGTGTAGACACTAGGGCATCTGTGTTTGCATCCTAGGACACCCTTGCACACACAGTGCTCAAAGTGGTACCCGGCCCAGGGCAGGCTCTGCTGTCCTTATCTGACCTTATGTGCTCAGCATCCTGTCAGTGTGTTGCGGGACTGTCCATCCTACTGCCCTACCTGTCCAGGAGGTAGACCACCCTCCTTGGTCGTGGCCATGGCTGTGGATGTTGTAGCACCTGTCACATGGTTGGGGATGACTGTGGAGGAGCCGTCGCCAGACAGGTCAGTCAGGTCAGAGCCAGGGCCACCTGGAGCCCACACGGCCTCGCTGCATGTGGTGCTCAGGGTCCAGAGGAGTACCCTTATTCCTCTTTAATTCTATTATCCTGTTATTGTTAATTAGATGAATTTATAACTAATGATGCCTAATCTCTTAGTAAGTCAGTGTTTAGTCTTGTTTCTTTCTGTGTGAGTCAGGTGTCGGTAAGACCCACATGCTGTGGTCTTAGAGCCTTTTCATCTGTAGCTTTTTCCTGCACACTTCCTCCTTCCCTCCCTTTCTTCTTCCCTCTGCAGTTAGTTTGTCTTGCAGGTTGGGGTCACCTAGTTGTTGTCCCTTTGCTGCCCAGGGCACCCAGCACCACCCTCTGAGCTGTTTTCTTGTCAGTTGGGACCTGAGTGGGTAGAGGCTTGATCTTTCCAGAGTGCAGGTCCTGTCCAGTGCTGTGTCTGTAATGTTGGATGGTCACTGACTCAGGAGTCACATAGTGGGATGCTCTCCCTCCTTCATTCCTGTCTTGTTGACACAGTTCTTCCCCCAGGCTGGCTCCAGGTTTACCTGGCCATGTCATTGATATAGGAAAGTCAGGGTGAGGGCTGGGTCCCCACCTGTCCCTGACTTGCCATTTCTATACCAGTCCTGTGCCCAGTCCTGACTGACATCATGTAGCTTGTCTTTTGCACACGGGTCAGAGGGCTCCTAAGACACCAAACTGGCTGAGCCCCTCTACCCCTTTGGGACAGGGTCCCTTCACAGAAAACTGAGGCCCTTCTCTCAGGAACCTGCTGCCCTCTTTTCTCCCTCCCCTTTCAGTCCCAGACACTTGGGATCCTTGGGGTTCCTGGTGAGGATGCTGTAGCCCATGGCACTGTCCCCACCCGTATGCCACCTGTGCTCCTTGCCCCTGTAGCCTGGAGCTTTTCCCACACACCTCCTGTCCCAAACCCTCACAGCCTGATCAATGCCAGCCAGCCATCCTCCAGGCCCAGGCCTTCAGGGAGCCCTCCTGGTACCTCCAGCCTCTCTTCCCCATTCTTGTGCTCCACCTGCTACTGTGAACCACCTTGCCTGGGTACCATCTATGGGGACACACAGTCTCTAGGACCAGTGCCTTGCTAAGGACTGGATCTGGAAGAGGGGTACCACCCCAGCATGGGCCTCCAAGACGGACTTAGAGGGGAAGGAAGGGATGGCTGTGCCCTGGTCTTAGTCGGGGGGGTGGGGGGATGCGCACAGCCACCCACAGTCACTGTGTGAGAGGTCAGCGCAGGACCCCTCCTACCATACAAAATCGGAGGCTCCAGGGCTTGCCTCTTATGTTCTTGGTGGGGGATGTACTTCCTCCCTTCCCTGTCACATTTCAGCAGGAAGAAGAGACAGTGAAAATCCTCTTACAGTTTTGTTTGGGGCTTGGGTGGAAAACCCTCCACCCAACAGAACATGCCTTCTGTTCCCTTATGCAGTAGCAGGTTGGAAGCCCATGTAGGGGAGGAGAGGGAAGAGAAGGAGATTTCCCAGTCTGGGGGAACCAGTCCTGGGCCTACCCTAGCACTGGGGCAGAAACCCATCTTTCTGAGACCAGAGTCTCCTGCCAGCCATGAACAATGTTGACCACAGGCATGCTGGCAGCTCTGGCTCCAGAAGACCCTGATTCATTTGCCTTTCCCTGGATAGCTGCTTCTCAAGGCTCCTTTGGGTGATGGTACGCCATCAGTCACCTGCTGCCCACCCTGTGGAGTCCCAGCCACCAAGAGGCTGTCCTGCCCCCTGTGTGAAGATGGCACACAGGGCTCCCTCTCTTAGCATTGCTGCTCCTGCATTTCCAGATCAGTGTGTACACCACCTGTGACCTACCTGCCACAGGGAGGAGGGGGACCTGCCCTGGGCACAGCTGAGCCTGTCTCTGCCTTCTCTCATCAGGCTACCTGATAGAGCCCACCATGGCAGCCCAGAGCTGTGGGTTGGGCTTTCATCCTCTCCTGCTGAGCAGAGTGGTACAAAGCCTTCCTATTCTTGGATTCCAGGCAGTGTTCTCCAAGGGTGGAGCCTTCTACTACACACATACCATAGCACTCACCCTTTCAAGTGTGCGCATCCAGGGCTTTTCTTCTATTTGCCGTGCGATGCACTCATCTGCTTTTAATTCCAGAAAACATCCATCACCCCAGAAGGAAACTTGGTCCCCATCCACAGTCACTTCCTATGCTTCCCCGCCCCTGGCACCCACAGATCTCCTTCCTGTCTGTGGTGTGACTGTGCAGGGCTGTTTGTATGAATGCTTTTTCTGCCTTCTTTCCCTACACACTGTTCTCAAGGTCCATCGTTGGAGTCCAGCTTCTCCTTATCCTCACCAATACGTGTGTGTGTGTGTGTGTGTGTGTGTGTGTGTGTGTGTGTGTGTGTGTGTGTGTGTGTGTGTGTGTGTGTGTGTGTGTTTCAGCCATCCCAATGGCTGTGAAGGGGTATCTCATTTTGGTTTTGATTTGCATCTTGCCAGTGATTGGTGATGAAGTTCTTGTCACGTACTCATTGGTCATTTGTATATCTTTGCAGAAATGTCTGTTCAAATCCCTTGCCTACTTTTTAATTGTGTTATTTGTCTTTTTATTGCTGAGTTGTAAGAATATTTCATGAATTCTGGATAATAAACCCTTACCAGATTAGTGATTTGCAAATCTGTCCCTCTGTTCTGTGGGTACCCTTTATCACCCTCTTGATAGTGTTCTTTACAGCACAAAAAATTTAATTTAGATGAAATCTAGTTTATCTGCTTTTCTTTTGTTGCCTGTGCTTTTGGTGTCATAGGTAAGAAAAGTTGCTTGATCCATGGTGATGATTTCTACTCTGGTTTCCTTAGAATTCTTTAGTTTTAGTCTTACTATTAGGTCCCTAGTCCATTTTGAGTTATCTGTGTATGGTGTAAGGTAAGGGTCCAGTTTCATTCTTTTGCATCCAGTTGTCCTAGCATCATTTGTTGAAGAGACTGTTCTGTCCCCATCAAATTGCCTTGGCCCCATTATCAGATGCCAGTTGTCATAATTGTTGGCATACATCAATTTCAAGTCTAATGGGAGGGGTGCATAGATTTTCTATAGCTACCAAACCATTTCACAGACAACACTTGAACAGCTGTGGACTTTGGCCTCTGTGGTGGTCATGGAACCAATGCCCTGTGGGTCCCAAGGGACGCCATGGACACCTTGAATCCACAGCATAGCGTCCAAGCTTCTCAGTTCGATTCTCCCCCTCTTTATCCATTCTTCTCACCAGGGAGATGTCCCTGCAGGAGGAATACGTCTGGGTTTGCTGGGACCTGAGGTGTAGGTAATTGGGTGTAGGACTCTGGGAAAAAGAGCCTGGATTTGCAGAAAAGCCATCCCAGGAATACTTGGCTGGGCCACTCCAGGCCTGAGGCAGGGGTGGGGAGGGCTTCCTTCCCACAAAGCTCACCTCTGCCTGAACCTCTCGACCCTGCTTGTGGACACATCTCTGCCCTCATCCTGGTCCTGCTGCACCACAGCCCCTTATGCGCTCTTCACTCCCTTGCCCCTAAGGCCATTGAGGGCCTTCTCCACTCTGACCATTGTTCCATGCTGGAAGGCAGCGTCTAGAACACAGTCCCTGTCCTGTGGGGTGGCGACTGTGTGGGCTGTCACCCGACGTGAATGAAACCTCCCAGAAGCTGGAGTGCTGGCTTCCTTCTGTGCACTCCTGACGCCTTGTCTACCACTTGCTTTGCACTCCCTCCATGTCGGGCTGGGCTCTTCCCGGCCACAGGCAGAAATTGAGAAGTTAAGATCTGGGCTGCAGAGGCTGGGGCCAGGGCTCCACACTGCCAGGTGTCCCTGAGCCTTGGTTTCCCCATGTGCCAGTGGTTCTGTGAGGGCTGACAAGATGGAGGTAGGTGCAAGAGCATGGAAGTCCTGGCCTCTGCCCGCCCCTGACACGTACTTCCTTGTTGTCTTTGTTCAAGGAGGAGCCCAGGAAGGTTTGCTTCACCTACGACTTGTTCCTGAACCCAGAGGGCAACCCACCTGTCAATCACCTGCGCTGTGAGAAGCTCACATTCAACAACCCCACCACTGAGTTCCGGTACAAGCTCCTGATGGCTGGCGGGGTGAGTGTGGCGTCTGGCTGTGCTGGCCAGCCCCAGGGCTCCAGCCTGTGCTGGGCATAGGCAGCTTTGGGGGATGAGTGGCTGCTTTCCAGCAGTTCCCCAGGCGGCTGTGGGTAATTAGCATCTTAATGCACGTGGCAGAGAAGGATGGGCACCAGGCCGGTCTGTCCGCGTGGCCTTTCTTGGGTGGCCCTTAACTGGCATGGCAGGTTGCTGCTGGGCACCAGGCCACACGGGAGGCAGCAGGGCTCCTCCATAGAGGAGCCTGTCACTTCTCCATGTGACCTGAGTGCAGCCCTCTGGCACCAGTGGGGTGGGGCCCTGCAGGCCCTAGAGATGGGCTGGCCTGGGACACTGCCGATTGATGTGCAGGAGGATGGGGGTGGCTGCTGATGGGACTGTGCAAGCACAGGTGCAGGCAGAGGTTCGGTCAGGAAACATGTCTGACCTGGGTTACCAAGTATGCTGAGGTGGCCAGCTGTGCCTGTGAGAGTTTGGACAGAGTCGTGTGTGTGTGTGTGTGTGTGTGTGTAGTGTGGTTCGTATGTGGTCTCTGGGGTGTATATGTAGGGTATGTGTTGTGTTTATGGTACATGCGTGTGGGTATGATGGGTGTCTGTAGCATGAGTTATATTAGGATTGTAGGATGTGTTGTCTGTTGTGTAGGGGAGGTATGGAATGTGGTGTATGTGGTCCGTGAGCCTTAGGTGTATGGTGGAGGGTGTATGGGTGTGTGCAGATATGTTTGTGGTGTGAGGGGAAGTGTGTGTGTGTGTGGTATGTGGTATAGTGTTGTACATAGTGTGTGCATGGGAGAGTGGGGGATAGAAGTGTGTGGTATATATGTGGAGGGGGTATGGTGGTATGCCTGATGTATACCAGGGGATGGGATGGGATGGTGTACTCTATGCATGTGGGCCCACCTCCCAAGTGGATGCAGGCTGCTGTGGGGCATTTCTGTGGCTCAGGGTGCAGCTCCTTCTCTTCGTTTTGGACAGTAGGTCTTTTAGGAGCTTTCTAAATAGAAGCGTTATTCTCTGCTGAGGGTTGTGGATGAAGAGCCTAAATAATAAAAGCTTCACTGCGATTCTGTCTGGACCACTGTGGGCTGGTGGAGCCAGTAGGAAAGCGACATGCCTTGGCCTAGATATAGTAGGAGAGGGTAACTGTTTGGCCCTGGAGCCTGGAAGGCCCAAGGGTGTGGGGAGGCCTGGGACAGGCCTCTCTAGCACTCTCTGCTTTCCACCTTCATTTTGCTGCCACATATGTTAGTGGGTACTGCCGAGGGCCACAGGGTCACATTTCTTTGGGGAGCATTTGGTGTCCCCAGGCCTCTCAGCTCCTAATTGCACAAGAGTCTCCCGTGCCCTGGAGACAAGGCTGCAAGGGCATCGCCTAAAGACATAAACCTGCGGGTGGGCGAGAGGAGCAGGTAGGGGCAGCCACGGTGCCTGCTGGACTGCAAGAGAGCCCCAAAGGAGCTGGCTGGCTGGCCAGGAACTCCCTGGCTTTCCTGGGCTGTCCGCTGAGCAGTGCTCTCTACTTCAGGAGGAGTCTGCTTATGGGGCAGTGGCTTTCCGGGAGATTCATGCCCCTGTGCTGGCCCATCTGGACCTCTGAGCATCCCTGGGGACAGTGTTTACTACTCAACAGCACATGGCATCTCCCCCACCCCTGTGCTGGTGGTGCTTGGAGAATTGGAGGGCACCAACATGTGGGGCCTTAGAGCTACCATGTGTCGTACCTCACTGGGATCTCTCGCAGTTCCGGAACTCAAACCAGAGCCTGCCCAGCTCCCAGAGCTGTTTCTTTTCCTCTGCCTATTGGCTGAGGGTCTACATGTCCGTTTGGCAGCCTCAAGACTGCACCCTGTGGAGGGGGCTTAGAACCATCCATGTGCCACACCGTCACTCCTTGGCTTGGGATTTTGTCAGGAAAGAAACTGCCCGCTCTGGAGGGTCCAAGCTGGCTAGCGAGTTTGAGTAGGAGCCACAGGAACAGGCCTGAGTGCCCAGCCCCAGCCTCCTGGGAGCCAGCCTATCCCTGGGCTGGGCTTCGGTCCTGCTTCATAAAGCCGGGTGTGCGTGGCGTCACCAGCCCTAAGGCACAGAGGCTCTCACATGGCCTATTTTCAGGAACTGGCTCTAGGAAGGCACAGCTGGGGCCAGCGTGTCCTCAGTGGCATGCCTTAGTGTTGTGGTCAGACAGGCTCTGATGAGCAAGTTGCAACTGGGACAGCCCCAAGTTGCTGCCTCCTTGAGCCCAGTGTCCCGTGACTATGTGACATCAGTGTTCTCAGATGAAAGGGTTGGCTTGGCAAGGACTCCCAGGTTCTCGAGGTTATTCGTGGTGCTGCTTCTGCCGAGTTAAGTCCTTTTATTAAGAGTGCCAGAGTGCCTTTTCCTTTTTTGCTCCATCTCGCTGCCCTCTGGCAGGCTTTCTGAGCCTTCTGTCGCTGTGTTAACTTACAGTGGTTGTGTTTGGGGGCCTTGCCCCACGCCTCTGTCCATGCAGGTGTCCTGGGAGCCTCATGGCAGCTGGGCAGGTGTTTTCCTAGAAGGACCAGGCCCTTCCTTATCTGTAACCTTCTACACAGTAGGGGCTGGTACTTCACTCCCCCAGGGTCCCTGCCTGGCACAAGTCTCTTCCTGCCTTCATCTTGGTCTTGGCCTTGACTTTGGCCTCAGCCTAGCTGCTCATGCTTAATTCAAGTCAGCTTCAGCTCCCTGCAAACAGAGGAGGAAGGCTCATCCCCACGAGGTGTGCGTGGGAACTACCAATATTGCATCTGTGCAAATCCTTGGAAGTTGCTCTCTCTGCTGCATGGCTGCCTGCCCCCGTCTGGCTGGCTTGTGCCTTTCTAAGCCATGCCTCTGGGCATTCTGAACCTCACTGCTTAGCTCAGGCTTTGGCCACAGCTGCCTTCTCGTGCTTCCTTGCACGTTCCACAAGTCTTCTTAGCCCAGCCCTCTGGTCCACTCTCCAGGGGCTGTCCTAGCAGCCTGTGGCCCTACCTGGACCCAGCCATCCTGGGATCCTCAGCTTTTCTTTGCTCCCCGCTTCACTTCCAGCACTTGGCACCCAAACTGCAAGAGAGAAATACCTGCAATTCTTTCAGGAAATGGGGCTCTAGCTCCCCTTCTTCCCTGCAGGAAACAAGCTCCATGGCCTTTAGCTCCAGCCACCCTCTTCCTCGTTGATAACATCTGTCTCTTCTTTATCACTAGGTGATGGTAATGCCCGAAGGAGCAGAAACGGTGTCCAGGCCCAGCCCCGACTACCCCATGTTACCCACAATTCCACTTTCTGCCTTCTCTGACCCCAAGAAGACCAAACCATCCCACGGCTCCAAGGTTAGTGAGGTGGAAGGCCCATCAAGTGGGAGCACCGGGCCCAGCTATGGCGGACCTGGGCTGGTGCCATCCCCTTGCTGAGCTGAGCCCTGCGCACCTGACCCTCGCCCTCTTGCATCTTGCTCCGTGAGCACTCTGCTCATCTTACTGCTCACTGTTGCTCCCTGGCACTGTAGAGAATGGGGCCCGTGACCCCAGGCTCTTTGCCCCATTCCTCCTGAGGTCAGGAACCTCCAAGCCTCCCTTCCTGTCCAGCTGGTAGTGGCCTTTAGTAGTGCTCAGCCCAGGAAACTGCTGGATAGAATGTTCCCATCGAGGCCTCACGGCCCACCTTCTCCAGGCTGCTCCTGCGCTCAGCTGTTCCTGGCTTTAGTTTTTGGCAGTGACTCATCACAGAGGAGAACTGACCTGGGGGAGAGCAGGTGTCAGGATGTAGGTGATTGGGCTGAATCTCTGAAGAAGAAATGTTTTATCTTACATGGCCGGCCCTCTCTAGGCCTCTTGCTGACCATCCCAGAGTGGCTGCCCCAAGGACAATCAGCCCTGTGGACAGCACTGCAAAGTCCACATTTCCCCTGAGCTTGCATCCTGTCCCTCTGTACCACTCCCCACCCCACCCCACCCCCACATGGAGGGTGCTCTTCGGGCAGCTGCTGACTCTGCACGGCTGTCCACTCCTCATTTCTGCATTCTTCTTTGCTGGCCTGTGTGGCACTGTCAGCCTGAGCACTTAGGTGGGACAAAGAGTTCTCAGGCCGTCTCCCAGTCTTACCCAGTAGCAATGCTTTGCCTGGTCACCCGTGCTGGTCATCCTGGCTCTTTTCACAGGGCAGGAGGTCCCAGAAGTCCTCAGATTCATCAGCATCTTTTTTTTTTTTTTTTTCCAGTACTGGGGTTTAAACTTGGCCTCAAACTTGCTAGGCAGGCGCTCTACCTTTTGAGCCACTCCACCAGCCCTTTTTTATATTAGGTATTTTTGAGATAGGGTCTCGTGAACTATTTTCCCAAGCTGACTTCAAACCTCATCCATCAGCATGTTGAGTCTGGCCATGACCCCGGGGGTCTTCCTAGGCCAGCCCATGGGAGGTTAGGGGAAAGGGAGGTTAGAGGAAAGACCGGTCTTGCTAGGGCTCTCAGGGGCTTCTCTCCCATCCCCATGCCATTCTTTGGAAGTCCATGCAAAATAGAAAGGGAAGAGATTGCTATTTGTTATACACAGGTGCCACAGAGGTCACCTTAAGCTCTGTGGGACATGCCTCATGGTGGCAGGGACACCTGGTGACCAACGGGGCTGTATTGCAGAGGCTGTGTCTCTTGCTAGACCCTTAGGAGCCTGCAGGTCAATGGCGTGGAGGCTCAGGAGGGCTGTGGAAGGCTGCAGTGGCTGCCTGGGCCCTGCCCTCTACCTCTTGGGAGCCTTCCCAGCCCCTCCTAGGCCAAGACCATGGAGACCACATGGGGTCCCAGCAGCACAGAGTCCTGCCTGGGTTCTTCTCTGGGGACAGTTCTCCAAGAAGTCCTCCTCCCCTTCCTTGTGAGGAGCCAGGCCTATGAGCTGTCAGCCTGATGTGCCATCCTGTGTGAGTGGCTTCTTCGTTCCTTTGAGCACTGGCTATTTACCTCCAGGTGGGTACTCGGCTGCCTGGGCCAGGGGAGTTGAGAGGCCTGCCATGTGCTGGGGAAGAGGTGCTCCCCGAGGCCATGGCCATGAGGACCCACAGGCTAGGGCCATAGGGTGTGCAGCTGCGGCAGCCATGGATACAGCACTCTGTTATTCCACCCACTGAGGTCCAGGGGGACAGGAAATGGGCCTCTGGGGGCAGCACGGAACCACCTGCTTGCCCAAAGTTGCCAGGGCCAATCGAAGACTGTGATCATCTTTATCTCCACATTTTCTCAACATGTAGCATGAATTTCAAAGAGCCCACGGTCCTGGGCACCCACACAGACCACTGGGAAGGTCCCTACCTGTTGGGCAGGCCCTCGTGGCCCCCACAAGGAAGCATTCTGGAGCCCACTGGCCTACTCTTGGGATCTGTTCTCTTTCCATACCTATGACTGTGGCTCCAGCCCAGAGCCTGCAGCTCAGTAGGCATGTCCACTTGGAGAAGGGCTGGGATCGCTCATGGCCTCCTCTGCTTCCCACTTCCTTCACAGCTTGCTAGGGAGTGGAACCCCCTCCATACACCAGCCCAAGGGGGATGCCCCTGGGAGGGCTTCATTGCCCAAGAATGAGAGCCAGCGGGCACACGGGAAACTGTCCCTGACCTGGCACTGAAATGGATGGTAGATTTTCAAGAAATTGGCAAACTGCATAGATCAGAGGCATGGAGGCAGCTCTGTGTGTCCCTGAATGCCCAGGGGGCTTTGAGAGCAGATAGGAGAAGACCTTTCCTGCTTTGGGTACTTACTTGGCCAGACTGTCCCCTCCATGTGTCCACCCTTTTTCCCTATCCATCATGCTCCTGGCTAGTGCCTGGGAGCCCTTGTCCAGCCCTGGGTGCTGCCCCAGGTCTGGCTGCTGTGTCTCCTTGCCCAGAGGAGCCTTGTTTGGAGAGCTTGGGTGCCTGCAGACACACAGCGCTGTGAGGTATCAGTAGGGGAGATGGCCACCTTGCCTACAGTGAGTGCTAGCTGTAGGAGGGGCCAGGGCCAGAGCATAGAGCACAGGTGGAAGAGCTTGGGCCATGGGCTGTGTGGTTTCCAGTCAGCACTGACCACCGTGCTCCCCTGACGGAGTTCCCTGTATACCAGGCCCATGCCCTTAGCCCGTGAGACAGGCGGTCTTGTCCCTTATCCAGAAGAAACAGGTGCCGGTGGCTGGGAGTCTCCTGCCTGAGGTCCTAGGGCTGGGGTAGGGCTGCTCTCTCTGCCTATGTTCTGCTTCTATCTTCAGTGGAAACATCAGGCCTGACTGGTCAGCCCTAACTAAGTCCAGACTCTACCCTAGATCCTCTGCATTTGCAAGACAGAGACCCAGGACTGTCCTGAGTATTTTAAGAGAGCTGCCTGGGCCGTTTTGATTTTCAGAAGCCTCGGTGCTGTTTGTTCTGTGCAGTACCTGGGACCCCAGTACTCAGTGAGATGAACAGCTGTGCCAGGGTGTGCGAAGAGGCCAGTCTGAAGGGAGGCCAGGAAAGGGAGACCTGCAGGTTGGTGGGGCCAGAGAGGGAGGCAGAGAGCACTGAGGACATGGAGTGGGAACTGAGGCAGCTGGAGAATGGCGCATCTCTCTCTCTCTGTCTCTCTCTCTCTGTCTGTCTGTCTCTCTCTCTCTCTCTCTCTCTCTCTCTCTCTCTTCTCTCTCGTGTGCTCACGTGTGCTCTCTTGAACCCCTTGCTCAGTTCTGAGGGACTTTACCCTGTAGCTGCCCAGGACCTGCACCACTCCCATTAGTTTAGAGGGACAGCTCCATGCTCCATTAAAGTTCTCACCTGCTGCATTACTTTTTCACTTTATGAAGATTTTCTCTAGCTAAGTCACAATCAGGTGGATCAATCTTTGCAGGAGCCAGGGGTGGTGGAGCTGGGCGACCCCAAGATGTCTGCTGACCATGTCTCTCTCCCCTCACCCTCCCTGCTCTTGGCCTTGTAGGATGCCAACAAGGAAAGCAGCAAGGCCTCCAAGCCACACAAGGTGGCCAAGGAGCACCGGGAGCGGCCCCGCAAGGACTCAGAGAGCAAGAGCTCCTCCAAGGAGCTGGAGCGTGAGCAGGCCAAGAGCTCCAAGGATGCCTCCCGGAAGCTGGGCGAGGGCCGGCTGCCCAAGGAGGAGAAGGCCCCACCGCCCAAGGCTGCGTTCAAGGAGCCCAAGATGGCCCTGAAGGAGGCCAAACTAGAGAGCATGTCCCCTAAGGGGGCGCCCCAGCCCCCAGCCCTGCCCAAGGCCTCCAGCAAGCGGCCAGCCGCCGCGGACTCACCGAAGCCCAGTGCCAAAAAGCAGAAGAAGAGCAGCTCCAAGGGGTCTCGGAGTGCCCCCAGCACCTCGCCCCGTGCTACATCTTCCTTCCCGGACAAAAAGCCCGCCAAGGACAAGAGCAGCACCAAAGGGGAGAGGGCGAAAGCAGAGAGCGAGCCCCGGGAGGCCAAGAAGGCCCTGGAGGCTGAGGAGTCCAACTCAGAAGATGAGGCGTCTCTCAAGTCAGAGGTGCGCGCCCTCCACCCTCCCTGCCATGCAGTTTTCCCAGGGTTGAGGCGGCCAGGGCAGGGTGAAGGGATAGCTCAGCTTGGGCCTCGTCAGCTGTTGTTTACACTTCTTTGTCACTTTGGCTAGCCCTCCATACCTCACTAAGCCTCAGTTTCCTCTTCTGTCAGGTGGCCAAATTTACCTTATGAGAACTGCCCAGTGCGGGCAGTAGTTAGTGGATTCCTTGGTGGCATTTGCTGGTGGCTCTGGTAAAGCATCATCGCCTGCCACTTCAGTTCAGAGCTTCCATCCTCCTGTAGCTCCTGCACAGGCTGAGGCCTCAGTGCCCACTTTGGGTCTGTCTCACTGTTGGGCCTTCTCCTGGCCCCACTCTGTCGGCCCCCACTTTCAGCTCTGTTAACTTAGTGTCCCCAAGCATCTCTGCCCTGCTCTTCTCTTCTGGATGTTTAATGGTGACTGAGCTGCACACAGTTTCCTTGCCAGGTAACTAGTGGGTCAGAGACATTGCCATTCCCTCCTACCTGCCCGCATCTGCCACACACAGCAAGGACACACCAGAGCTTATAGTTGGCCACTCTCAGGAGGCATCCTTCCTCTCAAGGGGTTTTGGGCTCGCCCTGCAGTGGTTTGTTCAGACAGTTCTGAAGACACCATGAGTGATGACCTGACCCACAAGAGCCAGCAGTCAAACCCTTGACCTCAGCCAGACCTCTATTAAGCCTCCAAGGCTCAGGGCTAGTTACCTTTTTACAGAAGGATGTGAGCCAAGGAGTGGATGGGTCCAGGCCTGGTGGCCTTTCTTGCTTGCCCTGTCCTCAAGCTTTGCCTCCAGGGGTGCTGTGTGGAGCTTCCCCTGGGAGCTTTTCCCAGAGGTGAAGCTGGAGGTGGCATCTACAGCATTCAGGGGTACTTCACTGAAGGGACTGCAGTAGCTAGGAGGTGACCATCCAACCTATTGGTGATGGCAAGTCCCCAGCTCATAGGCTCCTAGGAATGACAGGGCCAAGTGAGCAGCTTCTTGTGGCCCACAGCTGTGAGGACAGTGTCTCCTGTGCTTTGGTGTGGCAGGACCCTGATCTGCCCTCACAGCCCTGAAGGTTCTATAGGTGCCCTGTAGGCACTGTGTCAAGTGTGCTGTGCAGTGACCATGGTCCTGGGCAGGTGTAGCTTCCTTCCGATATATACCAGAGCACTAGGCCAGACAGATGAATATGGCACATTGGACAGTGGAGGACCAGCCTTGCCCCAGCTGTGTGTTGGTGCCCTGGCTCCAGTTTCTACACTGATACTGGGAAACATCTGAGACATTCTGTGGGGGCTTCCTGTCCCTAGGGTGGCAACACTCAGATGGGGATGATGTGTCAGTCCTGAGCTGGAGGAGCTCCAGGAGGCATGCGTGGTGTTTCTTTCTGGCTGACAATTGCCCCATGTACTCAGTACTCAGAAGCTTCAGGAAGGGGAGCCTGTCACCCAAGGCCCCTGCAGCATGAGCCCAGGGTTGCCAAGCAGCATGCTGGGCTGGGCTCTGACCTTCCTTGGCCCTGGGAAGAAGTCACAGGTCAGACCATGGCACCGTGGCCTCTTCTCAGCCTCTTGGCAGCCCTCCCTGCCAGATGCTCAGAAGGCACGCAGTCAACCTCACCCCTTGGCCTGCTAGTGCTTGGTCCTTCTGCCTACCTCCCAGGCCCAGCTCCTAGCCCTCCAGCAGATGCTTTGGGGTCTCCTCGGCCTTGGGTTCCTACCACTCGAGGGCCAGTCGTGGGCCAGGAGTGCTGGTTGCAAAAAGCCTCACCCCCCACCCCGACACTGGCCTGTTCCCCACAGGGGCATTTGCCTACACATCCTCTAGGCCTTTTTGACTGAAACTGTTTCCAGATTCCTTTCTTCCCTGTACTAGGTCTGTATGACTGAGGGCTTGTCTGCCTTTGCCAGGCACAAGGCCAGGCCTCCGCCTGTTGGTGAGGCTTCGCAAGCTCCAGGCTCTTCCTGCTTCCTGGGGTGCCAGCAGCCAGTGCCCGAGCTAGGGAGGGGCTCCCTGGGGTGCCAGCAGTCAGTGCCCGAGCTAGGGAGGGGCAGGCTCCGCTGCCACCCCTGCATCCCGGGCCTACCTTGGTTCTGCACACACTCTGCTTCTTCCTATCGGGGAGGCAGAGGCCAACACGGCAGCTCCTTTACAGATGGGGAAACTGAGGCTTAAAACTGAGGACTTCTCCTGCCTTGGTAGGGAGGCTGGTTGGTGAGAAAGTGGAGGTTAGAATGGAGCCCAAGGTAGTGGCCATCACATTCATCATTTATCCTGCTCCAGAAGCCCATGGCTTCGGGCCCAGCCAGGTATGCAGGACAACCTGCGACTCAGGTTGTGAGTGGGAGGACCGGGCTGGGCCGCATAGCGCCTCCCCAGCAGCCCCACAGTAGAACTAGGCTGGATGTGCCAGTGCGTTCCCCAGGGAACACCAATTGCCACTGGGAAGATGGGTGTCACAGGATGCACTTGGGTTCAAAGGGGGTGGGTCAGGCTGCGGTAAGCCCCAATGAGCGGAGACTCTTCTCCTGGTGTCTTCGCTGGGTTCCTACCCTAGAGACTGGCTGATGGCCTCCTGTCCCCTCTCCTTGCCTCTTGATGAGGAATAGAGGGCCTGGGTAGCATCTCTGCACTGCAGACTCAGACATGCCCCTTCAGGAATCTGTGCTGAACCTGCTTCCTCTGCCACCATACCTTGGGGGTAACTGGAGCAGAAACCCAAGCCCAGGGGAGGCATCACCCCGTGGCCAGCCCTAGTACTCTGCAGGGCCAGGCTCAAGACAGGGCCTTCCCATGCAAAGTCTGCAGTAGCTGACCCCTGCCCCCAGGAAGATGCAGCTCCTGAATGCACCTGCGCACACCCACCTGTGTTCTCTCACCTGACCTCTACGCCTTGTGCTCTTGTTTGGGCTTTTACTGCTACTCCCTCCCCCCACCCCTGCCATGACTGAGTCAGTGACGCACAGCTGAGGGAAGAGGAGAAAGAACCAGACACACCTACATACCCGAAGGCTGGGGGTGGTCAGGACACTTGGGTGGGATCTGTGGCTTTATGCCATAGCCCCTGCTCTCCTTGCCTGTGCCTGCTCATGGGGGAAGGCCACAGCCCCTGTGTGCTGGGGACCTCAAAGACCCCTGGGGGGTTCAGTATCTGCTCTTCTTGCCGAAAAGATGATGGCCTCTTCCTTTTCCTCTCCTGCCCATCCGACTGTGGGGTGAAGTCCGCCCAGTCAAGCCCATCCAACTCCAGTTCCAGCTCGGACTCCAGCTCCGACTCAGACTTTGAGCCGTCTCAGAACCACAGCCAAGGTGTGTAAGGAGGGAGAGGCCTTGCTTGGGCTCCTTGGAGGCCAGCAGGTATTGGGAAGGTTACCGAAGGCTCGTGTGGCCGCTGCTCAGCTTTGTGGACAGTCGTTTCTCCTTTCCTTCCTGTCCCATCCCATTCAGGGCGCGAGCTCTCTGTGGCCTGGGCCCAGAATGTTCTGTTCTGCCGCTGCCTGAATGGCCTGAACATTTGGCTGGCATTTAAGCCAGGCCACCATGCCCTCTCCCTACAGGATGCCTCAGGGGCTTTTTGGAGTCCAGTTGACTGATTCAACCTGCCCCAGAGAGGTGGGACTGGGGGCTAGGCAGCCTACAGGACACAGGCTGGAGAGCAGCTGGGGCCCACACAAACCCCCAACAGACCCCTCTCATACTGGAAGCGGCCTAGCATGAACCCCCACCCATAGCTGGAATCCTCTTGGGAAGTGGGAGAAGGAAGCATGTGGGGGTTTGGCCCGGAACTAGGGCTTCAGCTGGGGGATGGGGTCCTGGAAGCCCACACTCTGAGCCTTCTTATCGGCTGGTTAGGGAGGGACGCTACTGAAGCGGCATCATGTGACTAAGGTAATTGAGGGCTTTGTGTCCCTCTGTTGCCTTGGTAACAGGAATATAAACCAAGATGCCGGCTGTAGGGGACTGGAACCGAGTGCCTCTGGAGAAAGGGAAGGACGGTGGGCCGGGAGCAGCAGACAGGGTTACCGAGGGACTTGGCAGACCTGAGTAGGGGTACAGGCTGGACAGGGGATCTGTGGCCCCTGGGCAGAGGCTCTTGCACCTTCCTGAGCAAGGGCTAGTGTAACCTGTGCTCTGGAAGCCGCTGATCTCCAATCCTTTGGCTTCAAAGATGGAGGGGCCCTGCAGGCCCGCTGCAGACCAAGGGCCTAAGGCCTGCGAAGAAGACCAGGAAGGTAGAGGAGGTGGGGGAGAGCCAGAGGGCCCCTTAGGTAAGGGAGGCCGAGGGTATGGGCAGGCCCTCCTGGCAGGAGGGACCTGAGGTGTTTGTGTGTGTGTGTTTGGGGTAATCAGTGTCAAGGCGCCTTGGGGTCAGGCAGCCTGGAGGCTCAGCTAGAGCCTGCTCTTCACCTTCCCCAGGCCCCCTGCGCTCCATGGTGGAGGACCTGCAGTCCGAGGAGTCCGACGAGGATGACTCTTCATCAGGAGAAGAGGCCACCGTCAAGGCAAACCCAGGCCGGGATTCCAGGTGACTGGGCCCAGTGGGAGCAAGCGGGTAACCAAGACACCTGGGGCAGCTGTGACTATATGGCATGGTGCTGACAGAAACCAGCAAGCTGGAGGCAGGTCAGGCCTGGAGGCCCTTTGCGGGCCGAGTCGTCAGGTCCCTGGTGTAAGGGAACTCCTAAGCTTGCTGGATATGGGGCTCCCAGGCAGCTCCATCTGGGTGGGCTGGGCTGGGTCCTTTCCTGTCTGCAGAGCTGAGGGCCAGAACAGCATCCCTCACTGTGGCTGAAGGGAAAGGGGTGGCTGCCCAGCAGGGAAGGCTGGGGGATGGTGTGTGGGAGGGAACGGCTGTGCCACAGCTCAGGGGCAGCCCTGGTGGTGACGGGGAGCATGCTGGTCCCAAGGGAGTGCTATGGTGAGGACCAACAGAGTTGTCCTGGACTCCGCAGAGTCCCTGGTGTGGGGAGCAGCATCTGACTTTCCTCTTGAGTGGATACCCACAGGCCCTTGGAGAGATTTGCTCGGTGGGGGGATGTCTATGTCCTCTGCTCCCAACCCAGGAACACCCCAATGCATACGTGGGCCTTAGCCCCTAGACAGGGGGCTTTGCCAGCGCAGTGAATGAGAACTGGAGTGAGGGCTGGGGTCAGTGGCCTGGCTCCAACTCCCAACCCATCCTCCTTGGGACCTAGGTCTCTGGACTCCTTTTTAAGGTGGGGTAGTCTGCAGCCCGCACCAGCAGTGCTACAGGAAGCTTAGCAGACACTCAAAGCCTTTCTGTGTTGTTAGTAACTAAAACCATCATCTGACAGCTAGAGCTGTGAGGGTCCCATCTGCTGTGTACCAGTCACCCCCCATACACAGGACCAGTCAGCCACAGGGGATCAGAGTAGCAACCACATCAGCTGGGTGCAGCCAGGGCTCCACCAAGAGTTTGCCTCTGCTTACAAAGTTGATTGTGTCCTGGGACTGGACAGGGCAGTGTGCTCCAGCACCATCTGCTCACACTGAGCTCATCAGGCATGGGCTGCTGGACAGCCTCTTTTGGGTGTGCTCCAGGCAGGAGCTTGCTGACCAGCAGGGAAGGGCCATCCTAGTTTGCTCCCTGGAGAGGAGAGGCCCAGGTCCACCATGGCCCCAGCTGCTACCTGGGCGCAGGAAGAGCCAGAAGTGAGGAGCTAGCCAGGAGGCTGCTATTGCTCTGGGTCTAAGAGCAAGGCCTGGGGAGACGTTGGTGCTAACCATGGGAGCTGTTGAGGGAACGGCCATACCTGGGTACTGAGGAGGGGCATTAGGGCCTGGCGTTCATGCGCCAGTCCCAGCCCAGCAGACGGTAGGCACAGCTGCAGGGGCTTTCTGGCGATTCATTCAGTGACAGAGGCCTGTCTGAGGCAGAGGGACATGTTTCAATATGCTGTGAAGTAGCAGGCGTCAGGCTTCTCTTCCTGGGTCAAGCCCTGCATGTCCCTGATGGAGCAGGGATCTTGAGCGGAGCTGGCAGTGGGCCCCTTGTAGTGCCCTCACAGTAACTCAGAGATGAACAGGGAGGAGAGGGCCAGGATGCTCTGCCCAGACAGAGCGCCACAGAGCCCTGGGAGAGGCCTTAAGACCCGAGCTGGGCATTGTATGATCAGCCCAGCCCTCCACATAGGAACAACCATCTGTTACTGTGAGTTCCTGCTTGCTGTCATCCCAAGTAACAGATAGGAAACTGAGGCCCCCCAGCACATCTCATCATCACCATCAGACACACCCTTTTTAGGGTCATCCCTTTTGGGAATTGCGCATCACCAGAATGCACAGGATCACATGGCAATGGCAGGTCAGGTGGCAGCGGGCTCGGGAGCTGAGCACAGCCTACCCATTCCAAGGTGGGCTCTCCGAGTACTTCTCATTATAAACGCAGTTAAAGGACCAGTTCCCAGCAGTGGTCTGGCTGGCAGTGACTGCACCCAAGTGCTCTGGGCTCTGGCTGGGTTTTCTGTGCCACTGCCGGCTGCCCAGATTTGTGCTCAGTTGGTTGTAGCTGCCTGGAGCCAAACATGTTGTCTAGGGTGGGTGAGGGCCTGGGCATGCAGCCCCAGCCAAGGGTCTGGGGCATGGGTCCTATGCTTGTGAAGGGACTGAGCCTATCACAGAGCTGTGGATCTGGGTTGGGTACTGCCATTGGTCCAATGGAGTCTGACACTGGCCCTTTCTGGTGTTTAGGCTGAGCTTCAGTGACAGTGAGAGTGACAATAGTGCTGACTCCTGCCTGCCCAGCCGTGAACCCCCACCCCCACAGAAGCCACCCCCACCCAACAGCAAGGTGAGCTGGGAGACCTGGGGCCCAGTCGGGCTGGCTGTGAGGGCCGGCTGTGAGGGCCAGGGGCCAAGGGTAGTAGGTGCAGGAAGAGGCTTGGGTCACTCCCAGGGCCTGCAGTGGGCTACCCACTGTGCCTCGGGCAGGTTTTGAGCAGCTCCTTGACCATCCTGGGGGGTTTGGAAGGGTGTGAGGCTGAGGAGGGCGTGGGCCACAGCTCAGAGAGACCTGGGGTCTCCACAGGCATCAGGCCGGAGGAGCCCTGAGCCCTGCAGCAAGCCTGAGAAGATACTGAAGAAGGGTACCTACGACAAGGTAGCACGGCAGTGGGGAGGAGGGGCAGTGGGCAGAACCTCAGGCCTTCCTGGGCTGGGCTGCACTGGGGGGAGGGGAGGTGATCCATTGACCCCTGTGTCCCCTCAGGCCTACACAGATGAGCTGGTGGAGCTGCACCGGAGGCTGATGGCTCTGCGTGAGCGCAATGTCCTGCAGCAGGTGTGTGGAAGAGTGGGTGGAGGGTGGGCACTGGGACCAGCACAGGCCCAGGGCTGGTACCATGCAGGGTGTGGCCACCCAGCTGGCTCCCAAACCCTGAGGACCACTCCCCCTTGCAGATCGTGAACCTGATTGAGGAGACAGGCCACTTCAATGTCACCAATACCACCTTTGACTTCGACCTCTTCTCCCTGGATGAGACAACAGTGCGCAAGCTGCAGAGCTACCTGGAGGCTGTGGCCACATGACCCTGGGCCGGATTCCAGGCCCCCATGCTGGGGTCCTGGGAGGCCCTGTCCAGGCCCCACCTGCCTTCCTCTCTCCACTCACCTACCCGCAGCACTGCCTTAGTGACCACCCTCGGCCCTCATGGCCAGCTGCACTTTCTGGGGTGGCTTATGACTGACCCCCCACCTGCCAGGAGCCCGAGCGAGGGGGGACCCTGGGGCAAGGGGGCCCAGGCTGGTGCTGCAACTCCCAGCTACACACACCAGTACCTGGGCTCCCCTCGAAAGGTGGTTTGTGTTGAAGGCAGTGCCGGGCCTCACTCCCAGAGGAGGAAGAGACTCACTCAGACCAAGTGTGGTTTGAGGACCCTTCGTCCAGCCTCGGGACCAGCCCTCTGAACAAAGGATGGCCCCCACTCTAGGCTGCTCTGGGTGTCACCGTGTCACTGTCTGGGCCTCTCTGAGCACCCAGGGCATCTCTGTCCTCCCCAAACTGTTCAGAAGACCCCCTCGGCACACATGCCTGCCAGGGACCTTAGGAGGCTCTGTCTGCGGGTCTGAGGCCCAGCTGGCCACTGTCTCCATGCGCACCTGGCGCGGTATCCCATGGGCCCCCGTGCCAGGCTTCCTTGCTGTACAGCTGTGTATATTATTATATATGTGCGCCCTGTGTCACAAACGGTTTCCCATGTGCGTTTCTGTGGCAGGTGCACGTAGGGGGTGGGGGGTGCAGTGGGCTTGTAGGTTAAGGTGTCTCTGCAGGTCTTGTCTCCAGGCTGGCCCTCTACAGGGCAAGGGGAACCTCTCTGTGGATCCAGGACACTGCCGCCTGCTGCCAGGGCCCTGGTGCCAGTGAACTGTGGGCTGCCAGTCCTCAGGGCCCCAGGGAGCCACCCACCATGGCATCTCCTCTGGTAGCACCAGCCGTCTGCGGGGACAGATGCAGCAGTGTCTGGGATCCTCCTCCTCCTGCAGAATCCTCTTCCTCTCCTTTTGTTGATCAAGTCTTCAAACTTTGAAAAAATGAGCTTTTGCCAAATAAGATGGGATAGTTTGTGTTCTCGGAGGCGGATCTGATGCAGAGTCGCCACCATGACTTGCAGCCCATGCCCAGCTGCCTTTTCTCTCTGGCCTTGGCCTCCACCTCCATCACTGCGATCCTCCTGGGCTCCCAGAGACTTAACTCCTCTACGCCTGAGACTCTCCAGGGGCCAAGCCAGTCCTCCTGCACCCTGGCCCACCATCTTGGGCTCAAGCCCTTATACAGTCAGCCTCCCTGAGTTCCCCAGACCCTGGCTCAAGGCTCCTCCAGCCCTTCAAGACTTTAGCATTGTCTCAAGTGTTCACACCCTGACCAGGGTGTTTGATAGAGGACTGGAACCTGAAGGGGGCCACTGTCCTCCCTGTCAGGTGTCTCTTCTTCCCGTGTATGAGTTCAGTACACGAGGCCCCGCCTCCTGGCCTGCTCCAAGTTGTCTGTTGCGCAGATCCTGAACTCCCCAGGAGAATATCGCCTCTAAGGCTGTCCCCAGCCCCAGCTCTCTTGGGGACACCTCAGATTTCCAAGTAAGCCCAAGGGGCCGCTCATCCTGTCTCTCCTGGCTCACTGCCTTCAAGTGCAAGGAAGAGGGCAGCCCGCATGGCAGGCTGCGGCTGTCATGTCCCCAGGCAGGCCGACAATACTCCAAAGCTGGCGCCTCTCTGGAAACTCCAAGACATCAGACAAAAATTAACCTGGCACCATGGCAGCTGCTCGGCCCTCCGTGCACAGAGGCCGCCAGGTTCTGGCGGACCCTCAAGCCCAGGGGCTGGTCTTCCTCCTTCCTGGGGATCGCCAGGATGCAGGTGGCTACTTGGCTGCTTTCCAGTTGCCCTGAGCCGCAGCACTGGCCTTTCTGTGGTTTCCAAGGTCCCCGGAAGCACAGTCCCATTTCTCAGTTACCTCCTCTGGTCGGAAGGTCTCACCACTGTCCTCCAGAGCTGTGCTAGCCCCAGGCTGGCTCCGTGACCACCTGGTGCGCATGCCAGGCAGCCAGGGTTGGGGGCACGGCTGTCCAGCCGCAGGGCCACAGGGCTCAGGTGATGCTTCCATAGGAAGGGGCTGGCACGTTGTGATTGCCATGTGTCTCGTGTTAAGCTGCCTGCCCCCAGTGCAAATCCGTGTTTCACTGTCTGCTGAACGCAAAGGGTATCCAATACCTTTCTTGCCCATGGGGGTTTTTACCAAGGATGTATCTTTCTAGGAACTAGGGCACTTCAGCGGCCCAAGACCAACTCCTGGATAAAGGAACAAGGAGAGTTGTGTTTGTAACGCGTTACAGGATTGTTTCTGTCCTGCATTTTAAACTTTTTTTGTTTTGTTAAATTGTGAAATTATGGAGGAGTTTTATAGAAAAAAAAAGTGAAATAAAGTGAGATGGAAAGCTGGCCTCTGCCTCTGTGTGTTGCTTCCCCTCTCCCTGACCCAGCGCGGCCAGGTCTGTGACCAGAAGAGGGAGGGTTGAGAGCATCCCTTGGGGGGAGAGCAGAGAATTCAGTGTGCGACTTATTTTGGGGTCCAGGGCCATGCTTTTTCCTCACATGCAGGCAGCAGGGTCTGGGCTGCAAAACCTGACTTCATAGGAGGAATGGGTGGGTGGGTTGACAGATGAATAGAAGAATGGATGGGTGCGGGGATGGATGGTGGGTGGGTAGAAGAATGGATCAGTGTATAGATAACTTGGTGGGAGGGTGGGTAGGTGGAGATGGACAGAAAGGAAGATGTAGACAAAGGCTTCCTTTGCCAGGAAACCGGGAGCCCATCCAGGGTCATGTGTAGTGGGTTTAGCTCTAGACTCTGTGTGGCAGAGCTCGGTGGACCTCAAGCAGAGCTCTCCCTGGCCCTGTTCAGACACATCTGTGCTCTTCATGCTCCAGCTACACCCAGAGGAGCAGGAGTGCCCTTCCTGAGCAGCACCACAGGCCCACGCCCATGGCCACCATGTCTACCATGGCTGTGGCAGCTGGGGAGACAGCTGGGCCCAGTTTGGCACCGGGTCACTCAGGAGTGAGTCTACTATCAGTAGCCAAAACTCCCATTGCCAGCCCTGGGGCTGTGGACCCGCAGAATCCAGAGAGAGGTTGTGCAGGCTTTGCAGGATAGATCTGTCTGAGCCGAAATAGGAACATGGAGTGGACGAGGGGGATCTGGAATGGCTCCCGGGCCTTCAGGACACAGTGGAAGGACCAATTACAAGGGAAATGCAGTAGGGCTTGTGCTCTGTCATTCCATGGACTTTTCTCTGCCCCTTGAGGTAGGCATGGATTCACAGACGAGAAAACAGCCATGCAGAATTCACTTGGCAAAAGTGACCCCAGCCAGTGTGTTTCCACAGCTCAGGCTGAGTGTGTGCGGCAGGGAAGCAGTTTCGACCACGTGCTCGCTCACCAGTGGTCCAGCCATGGAGAACTTTACACAAAGAGTGGGCTCGGCCCAGCCTCAGAGGCTGCACCTCCTGTAGAACAGCACCTTCCAGAAGGATGCACAGGTGACTTGAAAATTAGTTTAAATTCCCTAAGTTTAGTACTTTGCAAACTCTAACAAAGTACTTTGCAAACTCTAACATGGATTTGCATCACCCAGGGATACTGTGTTAGTCTGTTTTTTGTTGCTGTACCAGGATACCTGAGATTGGGTAAATGATCGTTCTGGAGGCTTGAACTCCAAGGTGGAAAAGCAAAAGGGCAGCCAGGCACTGGTGGTTCACCCTTCTAATCCTAGCTACTCAGGAGCCAGAGATGAGGAGGATTGCAGTTCAAAGTCAGCCCAGGCAAACAGTTCGCGGGACCCCATCTCAAAAATACCCATCACAAAAAAAAAAAAAAAAAGGGCTGGTGGAGTGGCTCAAGGTGTTCAAGCCCTGAGTTCAAACCCCAATAACACAAAAAAACAAAACAATAAAAAAAGAAAAGCTAAAGGGCAGATAGCTGATTCATTTCTATGAAGATGGTTCCCTCAGCCCCTCCTCCAATAATGCTGAGCTGAGGAATGAAGGCCAGGCTGCATTCAGACAGCAATGTGACCTCCTTTTGCTCTCTTACTTCCTTGACCATGTCCAGTCTCCTGGCAGGCCTGTCAAAAGCATTCTTTATGTGATAGTATTTGGATGATTAAGGTTTCCTTTGCTTGCACAACTCACCTGTTTTTGCCCATTTTCCACATTTTTCTATTCAGACTCTTGGCATATTAATCATTCTTATTTTGTTTTTATAAATGTTTATTTTTTTTGTCGATACTGGGATTTGAACTCAGGGCCTTGCACTTGTTAGGCAGGTGCTCTACCACTTGAGTCATTCCACCAGTCCCAATCATTCTTATTTTAAATCCATAGTCCAGTCCTTCCAAAACCCAAGGGTTCTCATCTTTGTCCTGTCTCTTCTGTTTTTCCTGTTGTTGAGAGATGGACATGAGGCAAAAAAAAAAAAAAAAAGCATGAGGCTCTCTGATTCTGCAGGCTAGCATCTAGGCCACTCACCGTTTGCTATGGCTGTTGGTGGCCACAGCAAATTAAATTTCTCCTGGCATCCTGTTGCCTCCTTTGTTGCTGTGGGCTTCCCTAGAGACACCTACTAAACTAGGCTGTGAGCCTTACAGCTCTTTTCTGTCACCTGCCCCTTTAGGAGGTAGGATCACCGACGTGAGGCTAGAATATGAGGGCAGGGAAAGCCCTTCACCTCTTTCATGCCTACCCTGCAAGCCCCTCTGTGACCCCTTGAACCCAGGACCCCCCACCCCTCCACTCCTATACATACCACAGGGCGGTTGCATACAGCCCGGCAGGGGGGCCTTCTCTGCAACCCCACAACTACTCACTTACACCAGTGTATACAGCTGGGCTGCAGCTCAGTGGGGAGCCTTGCCCAGCATGTGCAAGGCCCCTGGGTTCACCCCCAGCCCCGCAAAAGAAAATAAAAAACTTGTCTTTATCAAAGAAACCCATGGCTGTACCCCAGGCAGTTTTGGGGTCATCCAGAGGTCTTGATATGAAGCCAGAGTGAGGGTCTCCCCTCAGCACTGTGGACACCAGGCCAGGTCATTCCTGGGCCCTGCAGGGCACTGAGCAGTGTCCCTGGTCTCACCCACTCCATGCCAGGAGCTCCCTAGTTGTGACAGCCACATGTCTCCCATCATGGCCCCGTGGCCCCTCGGGGGTAGAGAGAATCATCCACAGCTGAGAGGCACCCCTCTAGTAAACCAAATTTTATTCTTACAACTTAAAGCACTATTCCAGAGAGTGGGTGCTCCTTGAACCTGGGGTCCCACGTGGGGGCAGCTCCCCTCCCTCTAGGAATCAGGATGGGTCCCTAGACAGTCAAACAGAAGAGATGGGGTATCACAGCCACGTGGGTGAAGAACTGGATGTGGGGCACTTCCTGACTGTTACTGACTCTGCTGCTTCTCAGTGTAGAAGGCCTGGATTTCTTCCTGGTACATTTTGGTCACTATTGCCCTCTTCAGATTTGTGGTGACTCCTGTGACAGAAGCAAGTTCCAGGCTGGGGCTCCCTGCATTCGTCCCGGGAGGACCTCAGCCCCTGGGTTCACTGGGGTGGAAGGAGGAGGAAGGAGACCCAGGCCACTAGTGGAAGAGAACTTGTGCACCCCGAGAACTTCCCATCTCACAGCAGCCTTCACCGTGTATGAGACATGGTGGCTTAAGTAGCAGGGTGTGGGGACGAGGTCCAAAACGCCTTCCACACCATGATGTGGGGACACTGCACCCCCAGAGTCAGGCTTCGGGCCTTGGGTACAATCTGGGGGCACTCCGTCTCCTACTTCAGAGGCAGGGGGCAAAAGGCCACATGGCCATGGCCCGTCACCCACATGCCACAGATCCTGAGCTAGGGGGACCCCAGGTCCCACCCTACAACTGGTGTCTGCACCCCCGACGCCCACACCACTCACCAAGCTCCCCGCTGCCCACAGAGAAATCTGTGTCCAGAATGAACCACTTGACAATCTTGGCGCCCTCTGAGGGGGCCTCCTCGTTGACGGCCTTCATGCCCTCCTCAATGAACTCGTTGATGATGGGGTCTTGGTTGTTGAGAACGTCGGTCAGCCAGGTGGATTGGCTGTTGATGCTCCGGCAGAAGGCGACAGCCTCACTGGTCAGCACACCCCGTGGCTCTCCAGTCTCCCAGTTCACCTGGCACTGGGGACATGGTCAGACCACTTCAGGGCCACCTCCACATCCACCACTGCCTCCACTATGCTGGGGCAAGCCACCCTAGGCCAGCTAGGTCCCTGCTCCTACTGTGCAGATAAAAAGGTGGAGGTTCTGCCTGGGATGGACTGGCTCAGAGGCACAGAGCAGGACCCTCACACCTCACTGGGGCAGAAGGAATCATCCCCCAGAGAGCAGAAGCCTCCCAGGGCCATCTCTGGGATGCTGTTCCGGGGAGAGACCTCCTTGCTCCCAGAGGCCAGCCCAGCAGGCCACATCTCCGGGGTCCCCACAACCAGGGGATGGCAGATGTCTTAGATTTGGCACCGTGGGAACCAGTGGCTCTCTCTCCCCTTTGAGGAACACTGGTCAAGGCTAAATTCCATATTCCTTCAACTGGGGTGGAGCCATGCATGGTGGCTTCACACCTGTAATCCTCACTACTCAGGAGGCAGAGATCAGAAGAATCACTGTTTGAGGCCAGCCCTGGCAAATAGTTCATGAGACCCTACCTCAAAAACAACCAAAACATAAAACAAAACAGGACTGGCGGAGTGGCTCAAGTGGTAGAGCACCTGCCTATCAAGTGTGAAGCCCTGAGTTCAAACCCCAGTGCCACAAAAACAAACAAACAAAAAACATCTGGGGTGGGAGCCGGAGAGCAATTCTGCACTGAGCAACCAGTAAGCCATCCCTCATCTCTGAGCCTCAGTTTCCCCATCTTGCAACAGGACAGCTGCTCCCACCCAACTACCAACCCGTGGACTGCCAGACAGACCTGCCGAGGTCGGTACCTTCATGGTGAGGAGGGCGCACAGGTACGGGGAGTCCTGGCCCACCACCACAGCGTAGTGCACAAGGGGGATGTGCATCTTCACCCGCTCCTCAATCGGGGTGGGGTTGATAACCTCACCCGAGCTGAGGGTGATCATATCTGCATATGGGAAGGACAGGCATTTGTCTCTGAAAAGCCATGTCACATTGGCACTCATGGAGGCCCGGCAGGGAAAAAGCAAGGCACACTGTCCCAAGACAGCCCCACCTTGCAGAGGTGGAGCCCAACCAAACACACAAAAGACACCCCTTAGGCCAGTATAGTGGGGACACCTGTAATCCAAGCTATGCAAAAGGTGGGGATTGGGAGGATTACAGTTTGAAGCTGGCCCAGGCAAAAAGTTAGTGAGATCCCATCTTAATTAACAAGCCAGGCGTGGTGGTACTTGCCTGTGATCCCAGCTATGTGGTAGACTATAGGTATGAGGATCACAGTCCAGACCAGCCTTGGGGAAAAAACTCACAAGATCCTATCTGAAAAAAAACTAAAGCCAAAAGAAAAAACAAACCAAAGGACTCCCCTCCCTCCAAGCTGGACTCCGGCTCTCCTGCACCTTGTGCAGTGTGCAACCTACACCACCGTCCACAGCAACCCTGCAGGGCCCGGCTCTCTTACTCACCCTTGAGGCTGCCCATGATGTAGAGGAAGTTGTCGGTATCCAAGAAACCTAGGTCCCCCGTGTGCATCCAGCCTTGGTTGTCAATCATCTTCCGGGTGTCCTCGTGATCACTGAGGTAGCCCATGAAGATGTTCCGGCCCCAAATATAGATGTTCCCAATACTGTCCTCATTTTCTTCCTCCACCTTCGTGTGGGTGTTAGGGAGCTCCTTCCCACAGCTGGGGACAGGGGGGATGTCAGACACAGTCAGACACTCCCCTGCCACCTCAATGTCCTCTGGCTTGCTCTTGGCTCCCACAGGGCACTGACAACTTCCTGGCTAAGAGCCAAGTCCGATGGGCACATGGGTGCTTCACACACACCCAGCCCCTGGCCTCTAAGACACACACCAGCCCCAGGGACAAAGCAAGACACAGCTAAACTCAAGACACCTATGCTATGGGTGAGCAGGAAGGGAAGAGGCAACAGGACCTAGGTGGGAACGAGGTTGGCTGGTCATCCAGGTCAACAGAGGGCTGGGCTGGCCCTGCACCTGTCCAACTCAGCTCCATACCAGGACATCCGTCCCCATCCTGGCCCTGGTTTCTGCCCAGATTGTCTGCAGACTCAGCTGGGGCCTTGAAACTGGCCCCGGCCAACCAGCACTGTGGACTGAACTGTGTCCCCTCCAAAAGGGTTCAGATGTTGAAGCCCTTGCCCTAAGGGATGGTATTTGGAGATGGGTTTGGGAGGTGATTAGGGTGACATCTCTAGATGTCACAGGAATGGCTAAGTGCCGCTTCTGAGGTTATGTCACAATAGGGTTGTTAGACCAAATAAAAAACAGCCACTTAAATTTGAATGTCACACAGATTTTTTTTTTAGTATAAGTATATCCCAAATACTTTGTGGGGTATACTTACACAAAAACAATTATTCACTGCTTATTTGAACTTTAAACTTAACCTTGTGTCTGTATTATTTGCTGAACCTGGCAACCCTAGAGATAAAACCCTCATGACAAAAGGGCTCCACCTCGATGTCCTGCGGGTGGCTGGCCGCCATAATGGGGGACACTTGAGCAGCTCTATGGTGAGGTCCACATGGTAAAGAACCAAGCCTCCTACCCACAGTCACTCTAGAGAGCCAGCTCTGGAAGTGGTTTGTCCCTCCAGTCCTAGCCAAGCCTTTGAATGAGGCCCGGGCCACTCTCCTAGCAAGCAGTGCTTACATTCCCACGCTGTGACAAAATCAATGTCCCCTGTCCTCCGAGCTGCTAAGCTTGGGGTAACTTTTACACACAGGCAGATGAATACGAGAGAGTCTCACCAGAGATGCCAGGAACTCCAAAACAATAGGGGCTCACTGACCCCCTTGCAGGAGAGGACAGGCCTGGCCCCAGCTCTGGCACCCCTGTCTGTCCATCTCTCTGTGGGACCCACCTCAACAGACGGAAGGACCGGTTGCTGGACACAGTGTGGACGCCCGTGCACTCGGACAGGCCGTAGAGCTCGCAGATGGGGATGTTGAGGCTGAGGAAGAAGTCCAGGGTGGCCTTGGGCAGCCCCAGGCCCAGGTTGAAGAACTGCTGGCAGTTATTCAGGCCCAGGGATTTTCTGGTCCGGTTGAAGACCAGCTTCTTGGCCAGGCCAAAGAAGAGTGGAGGATGGGCGCGCCTTGAAAAGCAGATGCGGGGAGCCAAGTATGGCCTGGTGGCCACAGAGCCCCCACCTAGCCCGCGCCCCGCCCCGTGGGCACCCAGCCTCACCCGAACATGCGTTTCTGGTTGGTGTCCAGGCCCATCTTCATGGCCCAGTCATCGATCCTCCTCCGGAGCCGAGTAGACTCCAGCTGGCTGGTCTTAACCATATCCAGCATCCAGTACCACATCCACGGGATACCATAGAATGTGGTGGGCTGCACCTCCCGCATCAGCTCGATCAGGAAGCCCTGCGTGAGAAGGGATGGGGTGCTGGCACCCTTGGGGACCCGGGGATTGGGGTCCCAGGCTGGACAGACTGCCCATAACCAGCTCCCACATTCACCCCAGGGGCCCTGTATTGGGAAACTTTGACCTGACCATGAGGACAGAGGCCAGGACCAGGGCAAGGTCACCAAGTAGTGACTGCCCCCCTCCCCAGAACTGTGGTGGCTGCAGAGAGCATCTGTTACAGTACCCCCTGGAGTGTCTCAGGGGCTCATGCCCAAACTGTCCCCAAGCTCTGGGTGTGTGTTGGTGGGGGGAGAAGAGAAAGGAAAGAGAGGTAAAGGTTGAGAGAGACAGAAGGAGGAAGAAAGGAGTCAGAACAATAGAGACTAAGGGGACAGGCATGGTGGTGCATGCCTATAATCCCAGCTACTCAGGAGGTAGAGGTAGGAGAATCTTGGTCTGAGGCCAGCCCAAGCAAAAAGCAGGAGACCTTATCAGAAACACTGAAGCAAAAGGACTGGGATGTAGCTCAAGTGGTTGAGCACTTGTCTATTAAGTGCGAGGCCCTGAGTTCAAACTGCAGTACTGCCAAAAAAAAAAAAAAGAGAGATGGAAGAAATGGAGATGGGATTGAGTCTGGTTCCGTCACTGGCTTCAAATCTTCCATCACCAGGAAAGATTCCATAATGACATAATGACCCAGCCAAACTATCAAGAAGGAAGGATATAGAGCGAGATGGGGACCAAGCAAGGCCGTGACCCAGCAGCACCATGTGGACCAGCAGTCCCTGGGCCTGGCCAGCGCCACCTTGGCCCGCTCCCTGCATGCAGAGATGCTAGCTCTCACTGCTGGCCTCCACCACTCCACACTGTGCACACATATAGAATTACTGCCTGCCCATCCTTGGGAACAAGATGGACCAGGTAAAAAAGTGTTCAAACAGATAACTAATTTTTAGAATAAAAAGATTTGCCATGTCTGGGCATCAGTGACTCACACCTGTAATCCCAGCTATTCAGGACACAGAGATCAGGAGGATCGCAGTTCAAGGCTGGCTGGGGCAAATAGTTGGAGAGACCCTATCTCGAAAAACCCTTCACCAAAAAGAGCTGGTGGAGTGACTCAAGGTGAAGGCCCTGAGTTCAAACCCCAGTACCTCAAAACAAACGAAAAAAACCAGCCCGTTGCCTTTTATTTTTTCGGTGAGAAATTTGTGGACATTCGAGCTCTCCCTGGGCGAACAGGATGCCTTCCTTCCGGCTGTTCAGATGTGGCTCCTTCACAGAAAGCCTGCTGGCCCCTGGCTGGGGTCACCATGATGGAGGCAAAGATACCCACTGGTCACAGCCAAGCCAACTGCTTCTGTTTCCTGCAGTTCTCCATGAGCAGTGAACCCTGGCTCACCAAGGTGTGGTACTTACAGATTTATTATTGTAGTAAAGCAAAATTCACATGTTAACCTGTTTTTGGTGTGTGTGTGTGTCTTTTTGAAATAGAGTCTCACTTTGTAGCTCAGGCTGGTCTTGAACTTGCAATCCTGCCTCCACTTCCTGAGTGCTGGGATTACAGACAAGACCACCATGCCTGGCTGGTCATCTTAACCATTTCTAAGTGTGCAGCTCAGCAGCACTGAGCACTCACATGGGGCCCAGGACAAGAATTCTGGTTCTGGACGGAGCCCCCCGCCCCCACGCAGCCCCTCAGCAGCACTCACCGTGCCCGGGGGCCGTGGCAGCTCGGTCATTTTGCCAGTTTCTGGTGGGCCGAAGTAGAGCGTCCCAGCCACCAAGATGGCCACCCACATTTCGAAGATCTGGGCCCCGATGTGGCTGAGTGGTAGATAGCTCACCAGGACCTCCTGCCCCTCTGGTGGACACTTGTAAGGGAGGCTCTGGACTACGGCCGCTGCGGTCCAGGTGATCTGGAAGACAACTGTCCAGTCATTTGGTGGCCATGTGGGTCTCAGTCCCCTGGGAGCAGCCACATGGCCAGCTGGGGACAGAGTGGGGCCCAGCCCCCTCCAGGTGGGCACTCACGTTGTCGTGACTGAGCATCATGACCCTGGGGGGGCCTGTGACCCCCAGGCTGTACACCAAAGTGCAGCACTGGTTGGGCTTCTGGGCGTCGATGACCTGGTCCAGCTTCTCGTCCGAGACACCAATTGCCAGGTCCAGGAACCCCTTCCACTGCGGCGAGGCCAGTCATGGGCTTTGGTCACAGGTGGCCTTTGCAAGGCCTGTGTCCCCCGCCGCCCAGCAGCCTCAGCTCCAAGCTGGGCATCCCCCAGTACAGGGCTCATCCCTGGGTCCCTGGTGGGCTATGGCCATCCACCCTGTCCCTGGCTGCCCCGTACCGAGTACAGGTTTTGCTGCTGCGATGTTTGGAGCAGCTCCTTGTACTGCACGATCGCCTTGAGGTGCTTCAGGTGGTCTTGCATCTGCAGGATGTGGCCGGGTTCAGCATGGAGGAGAGCAGACCCCAAGGACCCCAGCCCCTGCTCTCTGTACCCACACTTCCTCCAGAGCTGGCTAGAGAGGTTCCCCATCTTCCTTATTTTATTTTGAGACAGGGTCTTGCTATGTAGCCCAGACTGGTCTTGAACTTGCAATTCTCCTGCCTCCACCTCCAGAGTGCTGGGATTATAGGCATGGACCCCCATGCCCTGCCCCAATGGTTTGTTTTTTTTGTGGTACTGAGGTTGAACTCAGGACCTAAAATATCAAAGCTTGAGCCACTCCTCAGTCCCCCAGTGTTCTTCTTAATGTGCCAAAAGATACATAATTGTACCATTTTTAAGCCACTTGCTTTTCTTTTTGAGGGTGCTAGGGATGGAACTGAAGGCTTCACATGCCAGGCAAGTGCAGTACCACAAAGCTGCAGCCCCCAGCCCCATTTTTTTTTTTGGTGGTGATACTGGGGTTTGAACTCAGGGCTTCACACTTATAAAGCAGGCACTACTTGAATCACACCTGCAGTCCATTTTGCTCTGGTTATGTTGGAGATGGGGGTCTCATGAACTATTTGCCCAGACTGGCCTCGAACCTCGATCCTCCCGATCTCAGCCTCCTAACTAGCTAGGATTATAGACGTGAGCCATTGGTGCTCGGCTCCCATTTTTAACCAGTTTAAAGCAGACAACTCGGTGGCATTTAGTTCGTATGTAATTTTTGTATGTAATGTAATTCCAGAGCATGCTCTCACCACAAAAGGAAATCCTATCCCCACTAGCAGATATTCCTCTCCACCTGGCCCCGGCTGACCACGTATCCACCTTTTAAGAAATGGACTTATATATTCTAGATATGTCAGCTAAGTAGGAGTACACAGGCTGAGTTTTGTGTTTGGTTCTCCCACAGAGCCCGGGGTCTTCACTGTAGCGGCTCAGAGCAGAGCCTCGCTCCTGTTCGTGGCTGAATGATATTCCGCTGTGCGATGCACCACATGGAGTTTGCCCCTTCACCTCTTGACTGCTGGGCCTCGTGACCATGGGGGTAGAAACATCTCTTCAAGACCCAGTTCTCTCGGGTTTATTCCCAGAAGTGGGAGCAGGCATCACTCAGACCCAAGGACATTCTGGGTCTCCCTGAAATGGAACCTGCTATGTGATTTCATTGAGATGAAAATTCCATCCAGACAGAGAGCAGATTGGGGGTTGTTAGGGGATCCATGACATTGTGAATGGACCAAATGCCACCAAACTGTCCTGTTAAAAGGGCTAAGACAGTAAGTCACAGGTTATGTCAACTGTTTTTTTTTTTTTTAGCAGTACTGGAAATTGAACTCAGAACCCACAACTTGAGCCACTCCATCAGTCCTTTTTTTGTGAAGGGTTTTTACAAGATAGGGTCTCAAGAACTATTTGCCAGGACTGGCTTCTACTCTCGATCCTCCTGATCTCTGCCTCCTGAGTAGTTGGGATTACAGGCATATGCCACTCTGCCAGCCCTCAGCTCATGTTTTTATTGGTCATAAAAAAGCTCGCCGGACTCGCCCTGGCCCAGTGGGCTTTCTGCTGAGGACATCCCCTCACCCACCATGGGGCAAGTTGCATGGCAGCCTTGGAGAAATCACCAGGTGTGCTCGGCTCCCTCAGGATAGAGCATCAGAGGTGGCAGCCAGCAAAAGGAGGGTCCCCAGCCCAGGGTGCACCCTCCAGCCTTGGAGACTAGCTGTGACCAGAGATGGCAAATCCATGGTGCCCAGCTCCTCCACCATCCCAGGATGGCAGCTGCATGGCTCGCTGGACTTCACTCTCTTACGAGGTGAACTCCAGGTCTTTGCCCATGCTGGGTCCCCACCAGACAGGTTCCCCGCTGTACTGCCCGGCAGGACTGACCTGGATGACCTTCTGCAGCTGTTTATCACTGTCCACCACAAAGATGTCTATCTCCGCCTTCTCTGCAACGGCCTGGCAGGCTTTGGCGGAATGGCTGGGTGCCATGCCCACAGAGATGCCCCTAGAAGAACCCAGGAGTTGAAGGCCTGCAGCAGGTGCTGTGGGAAACTGCCCCTGACAGGTAGCACCCACAGCGTGCCCTGTTTGAAGGTGGGACTGAGGGACAGCCCTAGGTCTTCCCAATACTCTGGATGGTTGTAGGGCAGGTTCAATGCTGGGGGGGGGGATGGTCTTGAGGAATGGGGAAGGCTTCCTGGAGAAAGGGACATGACAGTTGGGTTTCACTGGGGAGAGAATTCTGGAAGGGTGAACCAAGTGTGCTCAGGACTGGGTTGTTGACAAATTCTACTGAGCGTAGAATAAATTAGAGCCAGAGTCGAATCCCCGACCTGGGGACTCTTCCAGGGGACCCCAACCATCTCAAGAGGCTGGTGGCTTTCTGCCACAACACACTTGTTGGGGAGACTAGGTACCCCTTACCCTGCCATCATGGCACCAATGCTGGAGATGACCCACTCTGCGGAGTTGGAGCCCATGATGCCCACACCGTGGAAGTGCTCCAGGCCCAGCTGGGGGACAGATGCCATAGTGAGACACAGACAACTCAGTCACACCACCCTCAACCCACCTGGGAGTCTCGGACTCCCTCCTTCTGTCATTTTCCTCTCTCATAAAATAACCCGTCGTCCCATGGCAAGCTAACACATACTCATCCAGGCAGGAAGTCTCAGGTCATGCATGATCCCACTCCTCAGGGGACATCTGGAGACACTTGGAGACACCAAGATAGTGACTGACACCAGCAGAAAGTGCACGGAGACCAGAGATGTGGCTCCATGCCCCAGAGTGCATTGCAAAGAACGTTCTGGCCCCAAAAGATGGCTGCACAACAGTGAGAATCTCCAGAAAATAGAAGCAACTTGCACCCTTGACGTTTTCAGTCATAAGTGTCTTACGAAACCAGGCCGATCGCGTGCGTTTCTTATCATGACTTGCCTTAGTTCCAGAAGCCCGCCACCTATCCGTTTTTCCTACTCCTGAAATATTTCTAACTCTCTATGGCTCTGTGTAGCATAGACGTGATCATTTCACAAGCATACCCTTATGATTGGCACTTGGTGGGGTTCTGGGTTTTTTTTTTCACTTTTATTAAATAGAAAGTTGATGGGAACATCTGGGCAGGTCAAGTTAATCTTGACTACTCAGGATGGCACACATCTGTGTTCCACTCACTCACTGGTCCAGACAGGGCTGCTCCCTTCCACTCCGGACTCTTGACTACACCCCTCCCCGCCTTGACGACAGGTGACTCGGACCCAGCACGCCCCAGTGGAATTGCTGACACCACCCCTCCGCCCCCAAGCTGGCTTCCTCTTCCTCCCCTTCAGCCTTCCACCATCACCCTCCACCACAGCTCCATCCTCTGTAAGCTGCACAGAGCAGACCTGGGCATTGCTCACTCTCACTGGGCACCTGTAAGGCTCTGAGGCCCCCAATGCATCCAGAAGTTCTAGTGGCTTCGCCTTAGCACCTACACACTCTTACCCTCCCCCCTGCTTGGTCCAAACTATCTTCCCCCCACTCCCATCTCAACTATTTCCAATTAGCACGCCCTCCCCACAGCAGCCAGAAGGCGTCTGTAAGCACTGAGTCAGATCCCTCCCTCCTCTAACCATGGCCCTCTACCTCCCTTGGTGGCAAAGCCCATGGTCCCTGCATGACCTGCTGGGTCCCCTCCCTTCCTCCCTCTGTCCTCTGCACTCACTCTGCTCCAGCCACACGGGCCCCTGGCTGCTTCTCCAACACACCAGGCTCTATTCTGCCCCAGGACCTTTGCAAAGGCTGTGCCCTTGGCCTAGGGTATCTTCTTCCTGATCTCCCCACAGCTCTCCTCCACTCTTCTACTCCTTGCTGAAGTTCCCATCTCTCACTGGGACCCTCGACTACCATATTTTAAAATTTCACCCTCTATCCCTGACTCTTTCTGCCCAATTTGCTTTGGTTTTCTCTAGGTCACTGCCCACCTACTACACATTCTGCTTGGCTTCTTAACCCCTTTCCTAACCTGGAAAATGAACATTCCTTCATTCATTCAACAAGCAACAGAGGGCGGAGCTGTGCCAGAACAAGGTAGTCCCCTCTTCTTGCCCTCGTGGAAGTAACCAACTAAACTTTTTTTTTTTTTTTGTGGTACTGGGGTATGAACTCAGGGTCTACACCTTAAGCCCCTCCACCAGCCCTTTTTTTGTGATGTTTTTTTTGAGATAGGGTCTTGTGAACTATTTGCCCAGGGCTGGCATCAAACTGTGATCCTCCTGATCTCTGCCTCCTGAGTAGGTAGGATTACAGGTGTGAGCCACTGGCATCCAGCCCAAATAACCAGTTTTACAGGTACTTTGACAGAGAGAGGACAGGAACCAGGACAGTCAGGAAAGACCTCGGTAAGGAAATGCCACTGGAGAAGAGACAGCCGCCAGGTAATGACGACCTCCCTAAGAGTGGTGGCTAACACTCAGTGTGCGCCTTGTTGCAAACCTGTGAGCTAGGTGTTACTGTATTTTCTATTTCTTTATAAAGCAACAGACTGCATTTTAAATATAAAATACATACTAGACAAATTTTAAATATTTTTATATTATTCAGTGTTGTAGATAAATGGACTTATATATAATTTGTGTACATACAACATAAAAATATATTATGATGTACTATATATTATACAGAAACCATTACCTATAAAAATATAAACATGTATAAATATTAAAACAAATTATGTATAATATGCAAACCATTTAATATGTGTGAAGTAAATAAAACTTTTTATATATAGTTTATGGAACTATATTACCATATTTTATATACAAAATCTCTGCCTTACATATGAGGGAACTGAGGTACGGAGCAGCAAAGTAATTCGTGTAGGAATACATGGGCACCCCCGTCGAAGCTGAGATTCGAACCTAAAACCCACAGCTCCAACTCTAAATCTCTAGCTCTCAGGGAGAGCAAGCGTTCAAGCGAGGTGCAGCCGCCGCGTGGGGCAGGGAAAATAATGCCGCGCAGGCGCAGGAGGGACGGCGCGCAAGCGCATGAATTCGTGGAGCGCGCCAAGAACCTTGTGCACGGAAGGGCGAAGGAGTTAATGCACATGCGCAAGATGGGGAAAGCGCCAGATGTGCATGCGCAGAAAGGGGAGTTAGCGCGCGGGAGGGGCGGGGCCGCGCAGGCGCAGTGAGGCCCGGGAGGCGGGGCGTGGACTGCCTCAGGTATTACCTTGAGGAAGGCTTTGGCAGCGCACCGGCATTCCTCGTAGTACTCGATGTAGTTGAGCACGTACCAAGCATCCTTGTACTTGGAGCAGAGCGCCAAGTAGTTGCCGAACCTGGTGGCTGTACTCAAGATCACGTCGTGGATGGTGAGGGGCGCCTCGTTTTCAAGCGAGTCCTGTTCTAAACGCAGCTGCACCTCGCCGTCGCGCTTCGTCGTCCAGTAGCCGCGGCCTGCGGGGTCAGCGGGGACGGAGACAGAGGACGGGCGGCCGGGGGGTCAGCGGGGGACCCCAGGGGCGGACACAGAGGAGGGGCCGACACCCCAGGCGCAGGGCAGGCATATGGAGACTCTAGGGGTCCAAACTCGGGTGAGAGGGCGCAAGGCGGTGCTGGGGCACTAATGGCGACAGGAGAGGAGGGGAGGAGAGGGGAGGCGAGGCGTGCGGGTATAAAGTGACTGGCCAGGGGGGAAAGACGGATGAACAGCAGACGCAGAAAAGGACTCCGGAACATGTGGGCAGACACCCCAACCCAGAGAGAAGAATCCAAGAAGACAGCCCCAGCGAGCGGTCAGCTCAGGTGCTGGGCCACTGCCTGCCAGGGGCAGCCTCTAGGACCCAGTGGGGATCCAGGCAGGACAGAGCCCCTCCTCTCTCCCACCCCAACCCCCAGGCAGTCTGCCCCAATCCCTCAAGGATTCCAGTGACTGAGCCACTCTTGGCCATCCCCAAGGATCCAAACCCCAGCACCCTCACCAGGGCCCAGGGAGCCCTCACCTTTGGTTCTGCGCTCCGTGTAGTGAGTGCCGGCCTTTGATGCTTTCTGGACCCTATTCCAGGCCATGGGGTCCAGACTTCTTACTCCTCCCTGTATAGAGCCTCTGGGGATGTTCAGTTTAGTGGGGTCGTGCATAATGCCTGCAGGGAACAGGCAGAGGGATGTTCATACAAACAGGCTTACAGAGAGCGTGGAAGTGTCCAGCAGGAGACACAGGGTGCCCCGCCAGGCACAGGGTGGCCAGGAAGGGTGTTTCAACAATGGCTGGAGCCTTTTAAAGAGAGAGCAAGCTGGTGGAGGGCTGATGTGGAGGAGAAGGTGGAACAAAATGGATGTTAGTGAGAAAATGTTTTCTAGTACCTTCTGTGCCCACCGGGCTGCCTGGTTCTTTCCTGGGAGGAGCTGGAGTATGTTTGGCCTTCAGGCCCTTCCTCCACCCACAACACACTTTCACCCCTCTTGTTTGGCAGGGTGGTATACTTCCTGTCAACTTTGTGACCCCCCGTGACAAGCAACCTCTAGCCCATACTGCCCCAGAACATTCCTGTCTGTGACCAGCTCTTGTGACATCACTGGATTCCACCATCCAGGCGTTTCTGTTGCCCGTTTGTAGGGGCCAGCCAGGATCTCCTTCCCTACGCCTGCAAGCCAGGGGTCTCCAAGGTGCTGGTCCCCAGGAAGGAGTGGCTCACTTGAAGAGGGGAGATACAGGTGTGGAGGGGCATGAAGTGTGGCAGCCCAGAGGCCAACAGCAGAGCCCTGGTTCCCACAGGTCCAGTGAGACAGGACTTTGAGACCGTGAACTTGTTTCACAGGGTCTGTACATAGAAAGAGTGTCTCCCAAATGTGTGTACAGCTACATTTTCCAAATATTTGGTGGTTGTTGCTGAGACTGATAAACTGAGAACTCATTTAAAAGCCTTTCTGGTTCTTTAGGAAAATGAAAAAGAGGGGCAAATGATCCTGCAGTTCTGCTTCTGTGCGCAAAAGCACTGAAACAGGGCTTGAAGACAGTCACCCAGCAACATTCACAGCATTGTGGTTCACAAGCAATCTAGGTGTCCACTAACTGATGAATAAAAGCTGGAGTGTGTATGACAGGACATTTGACCTGAGAAAACAAGAACACTGACACCTGCTACAACATGGTGAGCCTGGAGGACACAATGCTAGGTGAAATGAGCAGATACAGAAGGACACACACTGCAGGACGTCACTCATAGGCAGCCCCTAGTGTTGTCAGAGCCACAGAGACGGGAAGACAGGAAGTAGGATGGTGGGTGCCAGGGGCTGGGGAAGGGAGAGGGCAGTTAGGTTGGTTTGTTTGTTTTTTTAAAGTACTGAGGTTTGAAATCAGGGCTTCATGGTTGCTAGGCAGGTGCTGTACTGCTTGAACTGTGCCTCCAGCCCTTTTTGTTCTGGTTCTTTTGCAGATAGGGTCTCACTTTTTGCTCAGATAGGCCTGGACCACTGTGGTTGGGATGACAGTGTGCACGACCATGCCAGCTTTTTTCTGTTGAGATGGAGTCTCGAAAACTCTCCTTTTATTCCAGGCTACCCTGGAACTGCAATCCTCCCAATCTCAACCTCCCGACTAGGTTGGGATGACAGGCTTGAGCCACTGGCGCCCAGCGAGAGTGTTGATGAGGGCAGAGCTTCCGTGTGGGGAAATGGAAAGTTCTTTGGGCTGATGGTGGGGAAAGCAGCACAGCCATGTGAGTGTGTTTAGTATCACAGAACTCTAAACTAAAAACTGACTAAAATGGTGAATTTTGTTGTGTAAATTTTACCACAACTAAAAAAATAATTCAGAGGGCTTGGCTGAAGTCAGTTCCTGCTTGTCATTTCCCAAGAGAATAGTGAGGCAAGGGTGAGAGTCGTGGTAGACAATATGTGCACTCCGTTGCTGAGGTTGCGGGTTTTTTTTCTTGGCAGTGTAATTGGCCATTTGTATTTCCTTGAATCAGTATTGAAAAGGAAGTAAAAAAAATACACAAAAGATATGCTTCTCTTTGTAAAAACCCTATACATTTTGAGAAATGGATCAGCAGTGAAGTATCTCTCTCTGTACTGGGTTTCGAACTCAGGGCTTCATGGTTGCTGGACAGGCAGTCTACCACTTGGGCTACTGGCCCCAGCCCTAGATATAATACTAACATACGGAATCAGCAGCTTTCTCATGTTCCAACGTTAGTCACCTACAGAACATTGAAAGGAAGGAAAATCACATGCATAATAAAAATAAACCATAAATTAGAATTAAAATGATCAAAAATTGTACAAGATGATAAAATGCTAAAAGTTTGCTAAAGCAAAGATAGGAATTTTAAGAAATGAAAAGACATGAATAAGTTGAAAAAGATACCATATTAACAAATGGGAGAGCTCAATATTGTAAAAATGTGACTCTTTAGATTAATAAAAATGCATTCTTTTTTGCAGTGCTAGGGATGCTATCCATGGTTAGGCTATACCGAGCCCTAAAAATGCATTGTCAGGTAGTTTCAAACTTTACATAAATGGTAACATGCAAAAAAAATTTTTTTTCATCGTTTTTAAAAATGCCTGTCCTGCCAAAATTAAAGCAGCATATTATAAAACTTTTTAACTAAACCAACACGAGGATTGTAACCACAATATATAACAGCTTATAATTAAACAATAAAAAGATGAGTAAAAATGGTCAGAAGCTGGGATGATGACACTTGCTATAATCCTAGCACCCAGTGAGTTCAGGGCTAGCCAGAGTACATAAGGAAACTGTCTCAAAAAAGAAAAAAAAAAAAGCAAGAAGTGGGCATGGAAGTCCACAGCTATAATCCTAGCTGCTTGGGAGGTGGAGATTGGGAGGATCACAGTTCAAGGCTAGCCTGGGCAAAAAGTCTGTGAGATCCCCCAACTTACCCAATGGCTTGGCATGGTGATATGTGCTTATCACTTTTACCTATGCAGGGAAGCATACATAGGCGGGTCGTGGTCCAGGCCAGCCTGGGCATAAAGCGAGACCCTCTCAAAAAAGACCAGTGCGAAAAAAGGGCTGCAGGTGTGGTAGGGAGCCTGCCTAGCAAGCATAAGGTCCTGAGTCCAAACCCCAGTAGTACCAAAAAAAAAAAAAAAAAACACCAGGGACTGGGAGGATGTAGTTCAGTGATAGATCATTTGCTAATGTGAGGCCCTGGGTTCATCCCAGGACTGGGTGGAGATGGGGGAGGCAGAGAATTTGAGGAGACATTTCTCCAAAGAAGCAGCACATGTGGACATGGTTGTCACATCTCAACAACAGAAGACTACTCAGCTGTGAAAAGTAACTCAGTTGTCACATGCAGATGGACTTAGACTCCGTGGGAGTAGCCAGACAGAAGAGACAGCATGCAGGTCATAGTTCAATGTAGCAGAGGGAAAAGGCCAGACTTGGGACAAAACAGCCTGGTGGAGGAGGGACACCAGCCCTGTCCTACCAAGCAGGCGTAGGAAGACGTGGCCTTTCCACCAGGGACCTGGAGCTTCCTTCTGACCCTGTTATGGTTCCCATGTACTTTGGCTCCCAAGAGCTCCTGTGTTGGAAGCTTGATCCCCAGCCTGGCAATGTGGGAGGTGGTGGGCACTTTAAGAGGTAGGGCTTATTGGGAGGAGGTCACATTTCTGTGGTGGGCCATCAGTAAGGTGGTTCTCACAAGACCCTGAGGTAGTTCTTGTGAAAGTGATTATAAAAACAGCAAGACCAGATACCCATCACTGTCTTCCTGCTTGGCCCTGCAATCACTCCCTTTTTCATGCTGTTCCACCACTGTGATGCCATCCACAGTGAGGTCCCTTCAGAGCCTAGCTGACGGATGCCAGTGCTATGCTCTTGAACCTACAGAACTGAGCTAAACAAACCTTTTTTACTGATGAAGTACCCAACCTTGAGTATTTTGTTATAGTGATGGAAAACGGACTGAGACACATAACAATGGTTTTGCCTAGAATTTTTTGAGTTCTCATTTGCAAATCATAAAGTCTACTGATTTTAAGAATTGGTAGAGACCAGCACTGGAGATGCCACATGCTATGGCTTGGATCTGGAATGTCCTCCAAGGGCCCATGTGTTGAAGGCTTAGCCCCTAGCTTGGTGCTGTTGGGAGGTGGTGGGGCCTAGTAGGAGGTACCCAGGTCGTTGGGGATGTGCACTTGAAGGAGACTGAGGAACCCCAGCCTCTTCCTTTCTGCTTTACGGCCTCCTTGAGGTGGGCATCTTCCTCTGTGGTGTACTGCCTCGCCACAGGCCTCAAAGCAAGAGGACCAACCAACCACAGACTGAAACCATGAGCCAAGTAAACCTTCCCACTTTTTTTTTTTTTTTGTAATATTAGAATTTGAACTCAGGGACTTTACCTTGAGCCACTCCACCAGCCCTTTTTGTGTTGGGTTTTTTTGAGATAGGGTTGGTCTCACAAACTGTTTGCCTGGGCTGGTGTTGAACCACAATCCTCCTGATCTCTGCCTCCTGAGTAGCTGGGATTACACGTGGGAGCCACCAGTGCCCAGCTTCTTTCCACGTTTTAACTTGGTTATCTCAGGTGTTGTGTCACAGTGATGGAAAATTGACTCACCATGTTGGCTTTGGTCTGCTCCCAATGGACCCTTGGATGAGTAAAGAATAAACATCTGTCTTCTCTAACCTGATGGCATTTTGGACTTTATTACAACAGCAAAACTCAGTCCTGAGGATGAGCAGGAGTCATCAAGAGTCAACAGCTGTTAGCAGTGACTGAGGGTGATGATAGCCACCAGCCCTAGAGCTTTCTGGGAGCCGTGACAGGGATCCCTGTATATTATCTCAATGGACTTTCATGGCCACCCTATGAGATAGAGGCCTGTGTTTTCAGATTAAAAACCCCTGAGTCTCAGAAGTTTGAGCTACACACAGCAGGCCAGAAGTTGGACCTATGACTGACTTCAGAGCCTTAGCCTGTCCCCATCACACTACACGTAGGAAAGTGCTGGCATCTGATCAGAAATGAAGACATGAGATGCTGAAGTGCCTTATCAGAATTTATTTCAGGGTCTTCCAAGTTGTTTCCAGGCAGGTAAGGGAGTTTTGGGGTCCATTTCTTCAAACTTGTGAAGGCCCTTTCTAATGTCTCATGTGCTCTGGGGAGAAAAAAAAACCCATGATTGGAGCCCCCAAGGTCATACCCCAGGATCATGCCTCAAAGGACCACAGAAGGATTAGGACAATCTCATTGCTTTGAAAGGCAGAATGGGATTGACCAGAGTGCTATTCAAGAAAGTGACCAGTGGGGAATAAGGGTTCTCACAGACAAGAGGAAGACCCCGCTCAGAGCAGCAAGTCACCTGTTGTGATGGGATCTTCTTTTGGAGGCTAGAGAGAGAAACAAGGTATCACATGGGATCCTGGTAGAACACATGCTTCCTCACCAAGATCCCACAGTTACCATGGGGTGAAAACGCTCGAGTGGGCGGATCCGCTTACCACTTGGCCCTCACCCCCAATCCCTCCAGAAGGAATGTGACACCAACCAAGAGACATGCAAGCCAACAATGCACTTAAAACTTTGTAGTAGCATTTCTAAAAGAAACGGCTGGTGGAATGACCACTTAGCAAGCTTGAGGCCCTGAGTTCAAACCCCAGTACCACCAATGAAAAAGGAACTGATAAAAGGAATTTTAATAACATTTTACATAACCCAGTAGGTCCAAAATATCAAACGTGACAAAGATTTTAAAACAATGTGGTGGTGCCTGTAGTACCAGTACTTGGGAGGTTGAGGCAGGAGTATCATAAGTTCGAGGCCAGCCTTGGCCAAACCGAAAAAATTTAAATTACTGAGAGAGTTTCTATTCTTTTCATACTGAACCTTTGAAATCCAGTGTGTTTCATACTTATATCACACATGGATTTGGACAGCCATGCATGGCCAGTAGTTGTCATGTTGGATAACGCAGGTGGCGTAGAGGGTCCACACCCCCTCCACACACACAGTGACTTGTCACTCAGCTGCCAAGTGAAATTGGCAATCTAAGGAGTGGGGAGTGATGAGTGTGATGTGAGGAACCCCTGGGCCACCTGCTCGCTACCCCGGATGAAAGTGTGGGAGAGTTACAACTGAACGAAGAACAATGGCTATGGAGGTGGCACAGGCTGAATTGGGTACCTCCCCCGCAAGGAAATTCGTCCTAACCCTCATTAGCCAGAATGTGACCTGATGTGGAGATGGGGTGTTACATAGGTCAAGATGAGGTCATTAGGGTGGCCCTTATAAAGAGGCATAGGTTAAATGCACAGATGGGGATGCAGGAAAGGAAGAGAAGTCTGGAATGGGTCCCTCCCTCGAGGTCCTCAGAGGGATAGAACTGTCTGGCTGGAGGCATCTGGAGAGAGTAGCATTGCCCATGAAAGGGCCACAGGTGGTCCTGGGGACTACTGAAAACCTCTACTCTGCCTCCATTGTGCCGTCGTTCAGTTTCCCCAAACCCCTCAGTGACACCTGATTTAACAAAAAACAAAAAACTTGGGCCCTGGGTAGAAAGCTAGGATGTTAACTGAAGGAGAAAAGGTGCAAAACGCCACCACCAGGGACAAGCTACGCATGCCCTCGCAGGACCCTGGCAGAGGGGCATGGTGTGGGCCAGGTGCTACCCAGAACCCACTGTGATCGCACATATGTGGGCATGTGGCCTCTGCAGTCCCACCCACAGACCAGCTTGCCAGACACACCTGTCTGCTCTCACACTCATTCAGCACCCAGCCCAGCAGAGCCCCGTGCTGAGTCGCACCGTCAGGATAGCCACGAGAGCTCCACCGGGCCATCAGGAGTACAGACTCTCAATTTGGGTTGTGTATTTCTGGATTATGAAATGTCTCCTAACTTTTGTTGTTGGACCTGTTGAGAAAAGAGAGGATCGGCTGAGTTGTGGGGGTGGAAGAAAATTCCATGTGCGTTGCCTGGCGACAGCATCCAGGGGCTGGTCCAGGCTACCCGGCTCTTCTGCCAACCTCCGCCATGGGTAAGAGGAGACTGAAATGTCCTCTGACTTCAGGCTGTGGGGACGGGCCCAGCTGTTGGAAGGGGAGTGGGTTTTATTTCCATAGCATAAAGGCAACCAAGGGAGGGAAGGTGCTGGAAGGGTTCACAGGGAGATGGAAGGGGAGGGTTCAGCACTCCCAGAAGAGGGCCCAGCCTCTGAAGGTGAAGGTCACGGGCTCTGCAGCCGCTCACCGAGCTCTCCGCCTTGGATGGAGAAGTCCTTCTCCAAGATGATCCACTTGTGGATCCTCTGTGCATTGGAGGTGGCTTCCTGGTTCACAGCGTCTATGCCACGCTGGATGGCTGTGTAAACAAGCGGGTCTCGCTGCTTCACGATTTCCGTCACGGTGGATGCCTGGCTGCCCACACTCAGGCAGAAGTTGATGGCCTCTGGGCTCAGCTTGTCCAGGGGCTCTCCACTCATCTGATCTGTCTCGCACTGCCCCGGGACACCCCGGTCACCGCACGTACTCTGTGGCCAGTCTCCACCCCCCAACCTCACCCAGGCCCTGGAGACCAAAAAGCAGGTATTGGGCCTGCTGTGGACTCTCCCGGCCCTGGGGCTCAAGGCCAACTGCAGAGCAGACACCCTGCCTTACCTTCAAAGTGAGGAGCATGCTGAGGAACTTGGCCCTGTCCCCGACCAGGAGGGCATTACTGACGATGGGTATCTTCTCCTTAACAAGGGTCTCAATGGGAATGGGGGGCACATTCTCACCGCCGGCAGTGATGAGGATTTCTGGAAGAAAAACTGGCTAGGAGCCGGGCACTGGTGGCTCACGCCTGTAATTCCAGCTACTCTGGAGGCAGCAATCAGGAGAATCACGGTTTAAAGCCAGCCCAGGCAAATAGTTTGCAAGACCTTATCTCGAAAAGACCCTTTCACAAAAAAGGGCTATTGGAGTAGCTCAAGCAGTACAGCACCTGCCTAGCAATCGTGAAGCCCAGAGTTCAAACCCCAGTACCACCAAAAAAACAAACAAAACAAAAAAACTGCTGGGCACCAGTGGCTCACACCTGTAATCCCAGCTACTCAGGAGGGAGATATGAGGAGGATGGTGGTTCAAAGCCATCCAGGCAAATAGTTCATGAAACCCTATCTCGAAAAAAAAATCAATAAAAGGACTGTTGCAGTGGTGTAAGCCCTGCAAAAAATAAAAAAATAAAGAAGGGCAGATGTCATGACAACACTCACCTTGAGACCCATGGGAAGTTGGAGCCCACCTCCCCATCCATTTCAACTTCCCAGCAAGCATCCTGCCCTGTGTATTGCACTTGGCCAGTGGCTCTTCTTTTGGTGGTACTAGGGTTTGAACTCAGGACCTCACACTTGCTAGGCAGGAGCTCTGCCACTTGAGCAACTCCACCAGCCCTTTTATTTTCATTATCTTTCAGATAGGGTCTCATGTTTTTGCCTGGGCTGGTCTGAGACTGATCCTCCCCATCTCCACCTCCCGATTAGCTGGGATGACAGGCGTGAGCCACCGTGCCCAGCCCCTTGCACAGCATCTTAATGATTCACCACCTGGCCCTCAGTTGGTCCCGTGCCATCAGCAGCTGCTGCAGTGCGTCTGGCTGAAATCCTGCCAGCCCTTTGTGACCATGCCCTGTCCACTGTCTCTTGCTTCTTCTTCCATCATCCAGCACCTCTGGTGGCATTCCTAAATTTGGTAAGCTCTACAAACGTCCCTAAATGACTATAATCCTCAAAGTACAGGGGAAGAAATGGAGGTCTGGGCTCTCTCCCAGGCAGCCCATGGTGTGCTGAGGGACAGGGGTGACCTCTTGCTGTGCATGAAGCTAAGGCTTGGGTTGTGCAGCCTGGGAACCCCAGCACAATCCCTCATGGAAGATGGGTAGCTAGGGAGCCCCGTGCTTAAAGGCAGAGTCCAGTCCCGGGTTCCTGGTACCTTTGATGCGGCCAGTGATGTACAGGAAACCCTGGCTGTCCATGCGGCCCAGGTCCCCGGAGTGCAGCCAGCCTTCCTCGTCGATGACCTCCACCGTGGCCTCCTCCCGCTCCAGGTAGCCCATGAAGACGTGCCTGCCCCACACACACACCTCCCCGATGCCGTCCTTGTTCTGCTGGTACAGCATGTTCTTACACCCACTCAGGATCTTGCCGCAGCTGCAGGGAGCAGGAGGGAAACTGAGACTTAGGGAGACAAGTCACCCACTCAGGCCAGCCGGGCTGGACCAGCTCCCTCTCCAGGCCCCCTGGGCATAAGGAGGTCTAATGCAGTAATTCAGGTTGCCAATGCGACCCGATTTGGGAAAGCCAGCCGGTGTGTAAGGATGCAACAAGCTCCTCCCCTTCAGAAAGCAGCTGTGTAGACCACAGTACTGACACCAGACACCATGCAGTTTCCCAACAGCAGACTTGAAGAAAGAAAGGCATTAGGTGAAATCTCAAATCTTTTCTTTTCTTTTTTTTTTTTTGGCGTAACTGGGGACTAACTGCCCAGCAATTCTTTTGTCTCCACCTCTCAACTAGCTGGGATTACAGGTACGAACCACCAAGCTCACCTTGAAATCCCAGTTCTTACAAGACTCCTTTGACAGTTTTACAATGCGAAAAAGGAAGTCTTTTCTTGCATCACCGAGCTCTTTCTCTGGGAGTTAGAAAGGCCAATGGTTTTAGAATTCCATGTTGGAATTCCCTCAGCAAAAGGAAAAAGGCAGGCCTGAGACAGTCAAATTACAGAAATTTCCTTATGGCTTTCTCACCAAAGGCTTTCTAGGAATGTAGAAAAATCCAGAAGCCATAAAACAAAAGATTGATGAACTCAACTAAGTAAAGGTCACAAATTTTGCAAGCAAAAAACCCCTTAACCTAAAATTAAAACAGCAAAGAAAAATGAGGGAATAAAATATTTGTGACTCATGTAAAAGATGGGCTGATTTTCCTAATATATAAATGGTGTCAAGAAACCAATATACAGGAACAAAAAAACCAACTTTTTGCAGTACTGGGATTTAAAGTAGGGCCCTACACTTGCAAGACAGACAGACACTCTACCCCTTGGGCCCCAGCCCTATAATCCAGATTAGAAAATGGGCAGATAATGTGGACAGATCAGAAAAAAGGAAGCACAAATGGTCTTCGGCCTCACTTGGAATAAAAGGAAAGAAATGAAAGGTGAGATACCATTTTTCACCCATTGGTTTATTCAAATGCACTATTATATGTAAAACATTCACTTTAGCATTGTTTTGAGGGATATCTGATGGGAAAAATTAATCTCCAAATGTCCACTAATAAAGAGACCACTTGAATAAATTATGGTACATCCATTCAGTGGAATACTATGAGGTTGTTAAAAATGATCTCTGTACTGAAATGGAACATCCTCTACAATATAAGAATCCCTTACTAACCAGATCCATTTGACTCCTGAGTGTGGATGTGTCAAGAACGTAGGGAGTTTGTGACTCTACACTGTGAGGGACACCATGTCATCCAAATTGATTTGGTTCTGAACTCAGGAGAGAAAGAAGTAAGAGAGTTTTGTGTTTGTTTTTGCATGGAACATAGTTCTGTTTGGGATAAGAGCACATGGCACATGTCAGTGCCTAGTCACCTGGAGAGAAGCTGATATGACTGTTATGGGTTGAATTGTGTACCTCCCCCGCCCGCACATTCGTATGTCAAAATCTTAGGACTTTGTATGTGTGAACCCTACCTGGAACACTTGTGCAGGCAGACTTGGGGTGTGAGGAAGCGAGCTTTTTGCACTTTATCTTTTTTGTTTATTTGTTTGTTTTTACCATGTTCAGGACAGAACCCAGGGCCTCCTGCATTAGCTCCCCCCCACACTCTATCATTTTAATACCTGCTGATGTGCCTGAATAACTCACTGAAAACAGTATCTGAAGGCTGGCCTTTGCACCTTTCTTCCAGGAGTGGGACAATGTCACCTGCCTTGGGGATGGATAAATCTTTGGTTTTGAATCCTATGGGCCATTGGTTATGCACAAAGAGACTCAGATGGGATTATGGAATGGAGAGGGGAAAATGGGGTGCTAAGGATCCCTGAAAGATAAGATCAAAGGCATGAGAGAATTTTGCCAGATTAGAAGATTAAAAAGATTTTGGCTTTTTTTAAATTTATTTTTTTGTGGGACTGGAGTTTGAACTTAGGACTTCACACTTACAAAGCAAGTGTTCCACCAGCTGAGCCACACTCCAGTCCATTTTTCTCTGATTGATTGTTTTGGAGATGGGGTCTTGCAAACTATTTGCCTGGGTTGGCCTCAAACCTCAATCTCAGCCTCCCAAGTAACTAGGCCCACAGGTGTGAAACACCAGCACCTGGCTTTTTTCTTTCCTTCCTGAGAGTCCACAAATTAGAGAAAAGGCAGACTAGCAATATGGCAGCAGGGACGGGCCAGGGAGAGACCCAGGCAGGAGACTGTGAAGTTAAGGCAGGATAGGTAGGGAAAACGAGGTGTGGGAAAACAGGCAGGATTTCACAAGGAAGCGCCATACTAACCAATAGCTTCATTAAAAGCACGCAGAGGCTGGGCACCAGTGGCTCATGCCTATAATCCTAGCTACTCAGGAGGCAGAGATCAGGAGGATTGAGGTCCGAAGCCAGCCCGGGGAAATAGTTTGTGGAACCCTATCTGGAAAATGCCCATCACAAAAATAAGCTGGTAGTACTGAGTTCAAGCCCCAATACCAAGAAAAAAAAAAAAAAAAGCACACAGAGGGTACTGGAGTGTGGTTCAAGCAATAGAGAACCTGCTTTGCAAGCACAAAGCCCTGAGTTCAAACCCCAGTATTGCCCAAAAGAGTAAAAAATAAAAAGCATATCCATACTGCTTTTTTGCTTTAAAACTCACAAGTTGAAACATCTAGTAAAAAGAAGAAAAGGAGAAACAGCTGTCTCCCCCTGACCTTACCCGCTTGCCAAATACTTAGTGCACTCCAAGACTGGAGCAGGGATATCTTTTTTTTTAATTTTATTTTTTTATTATTCATATGTGCATACAAGGCTTGGGTCATTTCTCCCCCCTGCCCCCACCCCCTCCCTTACCACCCACTCCGCCCCCTCCCTCTCCCCCCCACCCCCTCAATACCCAGCAGAAACTATTTTGCCCTTATTTCTAATTTTGTTGTAGAGAGAGTATAAGCAATAATAGGAAGGAACAAGGGTTTTTGCTGGTTGAGATAAGGATGGCTATACAGGGAGTTGACTCACATTGATTTCCTGCGTGTGGGTGTTACCTTCTAGGTTAATTCTTTTTGATCTCACCTTTTCTCTAGTTCCTGGTCCCCTTTTCCTATTGGCCTCAGTTGCTTTAAGGTATCTGGGGGCAGGGATATCTTAAAGAAAGACACCTGTCCTGGAGAAACACCTGGGAAGGTGACTCCTGTGGGCCCAAGGAGTTTCTACAAGAATGGACACCTGTCCTGAAGCCAGCATCTGGCAGGACCCGTCCTGTATTTATAGAGAGGCTCCGACATCTGTGTCATCATCATCATCCAAATTTAAGAAGTGAGTCACCTTTGAAATCTTTGGGCTTCTTTGGTTTGCTTATGGTTGGGAGTCACTGGGCTCACCCCTGCAGCCTGGGGTCAGCTGAGCTCAGGAGAAGGCCAGGCAGGGCCCACGTCTGAGATGGAGGACCATGGACACAGAGGGAAGGGGACACGAGTGAAGGCGAGGCGGAGCTCCCGGGTGACACTCGGGGAAGCCCCTCCCTTCGCTGTGGCCAGGAGGCTGGGTCCGCTACCTGAGGACCTTGTAGTCGTCCTTGCAGGAGAAGGTGTGGGGCCCCGAGGTCTCGCTCATGCCGTAGAACTCGCCGATGGGGATGTCCACGCTGAGGAAGAACTCGGAGGTCTCCTGGGTGAGCGGCGCCGCCCCGCTGACGAACGAGTGACAGCGGTCCAGGCCCAGCGAGTGCTTGACTTTGCTGAACACCAGCGCCTTGGCCATGCGGTAGTTCATGGGGACCTCGTGCTTCCTGTGGGTGACGGCCGCCCGGCAGCGAGGCCGAGGGGACCCAGCTGGAGAAGGCCGGGCCTCGTCGCCGGCCGCCCCGCCAGCCCCAGGGCCCCGCCACCTACCCCAGCATCCGCTGAGTGTTGACTTTCAGACCCACGAGTTTGGCCCACGCAAACGCCTTCCTCCGCAAGCTCGAGGACTTGGCCACGCTCTCCTTGATGGACTCGTGCATCTTCTCCCAAACTCGGGGCACCCCCAGGAAGGCGGTGGGCCTCACCTCCTGCAGCGTGCGCACCAACGTGCCCTGCAAGGGACAGAGCCGGCTGGCGCCCGCGCCGCGCTCCCTCTCCACTCCCCACCGCCCCTCCGCCCAGCGGAGAACCTCCCCTTTGCTGATTGGACCCCCCGTGGCTCCCAACCCAACCGAGCCAACCCATTGGCTGGCTGGCAGCCAATCAGAGTCTCGCACTCGAGCTAGGACTTCGGTGGGGAGAAAGAAACCGGTGAGAGATTTTTGGAAGGTAATTGTAAAAATATCACCAATATTTTAGACATAACTCGGCAGCCTCGCTTCTGTGGGTGAAGGAATTTAGCTGAATGAAAGACTCAGGTACACAGACACGCAAACTGTTTTGTTTTGTTTTTTGTGATTGAATGAAAACAATTTATGCAGCAATTGAGGACTGGTTAAAGAAATTGTTCAAGCATGTACTGGAATATTATGCAACTGTTAAAAATAATGCAATATTCTCCCGTCAAACTGATCTACAGACACAATAAAATTGTCAAGCCAGGCACCAGTGGCTCACACCTGTAATCCTATCTAGTCAGGAAGCAGAGATCAGGGGAACTGTGATTCCCAATCGCCCAAGCAAAAGGTGAGACTCCATCTCAATGAATGACTGGACACTGTGTCATCCCAGCTACGTGGGAAGCACAAATAGGATTGTGGTCCAGGCCAACAGGGCATAAAATGAGAACTTCTCTCAAAAATAACCAATGCAGGAAGGGCTGGAGGAGTGGCTCAAGTGGTAGGGCACCTGCCTAGCAAGTGTGAAGCCCTGAGTTCAAATGCAAGCATCCTAACCCCCAAAAGAAAAAAACCAAACAAAACCCTCCTGTCAAAATCCAGGCAGGCTTTTTCAAACAATCTGACAAACTGTTCTTAAGTTTTGCATAGAAATGTACAGGGTATAGAGTAGCCAGTCATTTTGGAAAAGAACAAAACTGGAAGACTTGCTACCTAAGTGTTTTTGTTTTTGTTTTTTGAGATGGTCTCACTATGTAGCCCTGGCTGGCCTCAAATTCACAAGTCTTCTGCTTCAGTCTCCCGAGTGCTGGGATTACAAGTGTGTCTCACCATACCTGCCCTGATTTTAAACATTTTATAAAGTAGGGTGATCAACTATCCCGGTTTACCCAGAATTGAAGGGGTTCCTGAATTGGGAGATTTTCAGTTTTTAAAAGTGTTCAGGCAAGCCAAGACAAGGACATCCTACTACAGAGCCACCATGACCAAACTCAGCATAGTTTTGGCAGAGAGACAGACACACAGATCTGTGGGACAGAATGGAAGATCCAGAAAAAAAACTTCACACTTATGACCAATTGATTTGCAGCCAACGCCCCAAGGAAGTCCACTGCAGAGGAGAGAGAAAACCTACGCAAAACAAACAAGTAAACAAACAAATAAGCGATCGTGGCTTACAGTCTTACCTCTCACCAAACACAAAAATTAACTCAGCCTGGATTGCAGCCCCAGAAGGAGCAGCTGGAACTGAAAGCCTTCTAGAAGAAACACGAGAAAATTCCGTGACAGCCGAGTAGGTAAAGATTTCCAGGATATGACACCCAGCACATACAAGGGGAAATCCAGTACATTAACGTTCATCAAAGCTACCCAGCTTACTTTTCACTCTTCAAAGATCATGAAGGGTGGGGATTTAGCTGAGTGGAAGAGCACTTGCCTGGCAAGTACAGGCCTAGAGTTCAGTCCCCAACACCAAAAAAAAAAAAAAAAAAAAAAAAGAGGTCATGAGTCAAGGACCACAGATGGTCTTTAAAAGCAGAAAAGGCAAGAAAATTAATTCTCCCCAGGAACCTTCAGAAAGAACGTCTCTAATGACACCTTGACTTCAGCCAAGAGACACCCATTTTGGACTTCTGACCTCCAGGCCAGTAGACAATAAGAGTATGTTGTGCTAAGCTACTTAACATTTGTGGTCCCTTACTGTCACAGTAATCAGAGGCCCAAACAGAGTGTAGCCTGGGGGCGTCGGGTGGAGCTGTTGGGGTGAAATTCCACTGTTCTCTTCTGGTTCTGTTAAATTTGCAAAGTCCAGCTATAAATTGAATAGAAATCTCTTTCCCATAATCATTCTGAAAAACCTCCAGCTAAATAGAGGAATGACCCAAGAAAGAGGACAGACTTGAAAACAGGGGCCCAACTGAGGAGTCGGGGAAGGAGAGATCCCTGGATGGCAGCTTGTGGAAGACACTGTTGATGGTCTGTCCGGATCTCTTGTGACCACTCTCCTCTCTTCCAGAGGGCTGCCTTACGTGGAAAGGCCTGGGACATTGTACACCCCCTTGGGTACATGACCTTATAGCTAGTGACCATCTCAGATGTGGGTACAGGGGCCCGATGCCTCTGCCTCAGAGGGGGATGACTCTGAGTTGCCACTTGTGCCTCCGGCTTCCCATGGACCAGTTCAAGTTAAAAATTCTTTCTCTGCTTCTTCCCCTGGCCTGTCCTGCTCCTCTCCCTTCCATTCTTACAGCTTTCACCTCAATAAAGGACAGAAGTCCCTAGTTCAGGCTTTGCCTCTAGATGACAAAACAGAGCAAACTAAAACCCATCCAGTTTAGAGCAGGAGATCTCTCCATAGGTATTTAAACATTTGGAAAATGATGATAAATGGGACAGAGCAGATGGAGCAACTGGAGGAATATGCAAAACATTGTCAGCCTGAAAAAGAAAGGCAACTACAACTCCAGGAAAAACGGAAAGTTGTGCCAGATAGGAAAATCATCCTGTGTCAAACTGCTCATTTCAGTTAATAAGAGTGATTTACTTTGAGAAGATGGGGAAGGGGAAATGGGTTGGGGGGCAGGAAGGAAGCTGAAATCTCACCTACAACAATAGAAAAGTAATAGATGAATATTTAAAATTTGATAAATCAAGAAAATGCGGTATCACCTATTCTAAAAAAAGGGGAGGTGAATACCAAAGGGAATCTCTCCACTAGCTGAAAGAAGGTGCCTTTTGGGGACGGTCTGGACACTGCTGTTTTTCAAGACAGTCCAAAAATAACATCTCAAACCCTTGGGGCCACATATGGTTTGGAACTTGGATTTCTCCAGCCTTTGGAAAGGTAATACATGCATATTTTATTAAACACACATCGGGGAAAGCCTGCTGAAATCTATCACGTTAACATTTCCTCATTAAATATGCACATTTCCCCATAAGGTGGAATAAAATGAACAGACTTTGGGTAGACTTTACTGCCCCAAACTCTTAGTTTTTGGAGCTGTGGAGCTTTGAGAACACTGAAGTAAAAGAAAATGATACATGCATGCGTTACTTTCAATATCTTTACATCTTTATCTCGGATTGTTCTGTGGACAACCTACACAACCACACATGGATGCTCTACCTTGGATAAAGATGAAAACTAAAAGAACGTGGTCGGCCGTTTCCCGTGCTTCTAAATGGAGCAGCAGAGGATGGAGAGAAAGTCTCTCCAAGCCAGTGCTCGAGACAACGTCTGTCCAGGGCATGAACAGCGTCCTCTCCCAGGGCTGCGTTGGGGTGCAGCAGGGCCCAGGTCCTCACCCTGAGAGCATCAGGCTGTGCGAAGAAGGTAAGCGCCCCGATCTTTATGGGGATCCACATATCCATCATCTGTGCCGCGATGTGGCTGAGGGGCAGGTAGCTGACCACCATCTCCTGCTTCCCCGACGGGTGACTCAGCCCCAGGTCCCTCACCATGGCTCCAGCCATCCACGTGATCTGGAACACAGGGACAGCCCACAATGCCTCCTCCTCACTGCAGGCTACCTTTGTTTGTTTGTTTTGGCAACACTGGGGTTTGAACTCAGGGACTGCCAGGCAGGTGCTTTACCACTTGAGCCATGCCCCTGGTCCTTTTTGCCTAACTTATTTTTGTGATAGGGTCTTGATTTATGTCCAACCAGCCTGGACCACCACGACCCTCCTCTTCACGCTTCCTGTGTGGCTGGGATGACAGGTGCACACCACCACACTCAGCTTAGCGTTGAGATGGGGTCTAGAGAACTTTTTACCCAGGCTGGCCTCAAACCACGATCCTCCTGATCTCCACCTCCTGAGTAGCTGGGATTACAGGTGTGAGCCAGTGCACTTGGCTAAAATTTTTTCTTAGCATATATGAATTGTACAAAGGGGTTTCACTGTGATGTTTCCATACACACACAAAATATACTTTGATCACATTCACCTCCTCTATTACTCTTTCTTCATGCCTTTTTTATTTTTCTGGCGGTACTGAGGTTTGAACTCGGGGCCTCACACTTACTAGGCAGGCACTCTACCACTTGAGCCACTCTACCAGCCCTCTTACTCTTTCTTAACCCTTCTTTCTCCCTGTCCCTTTAAACCATTTTAGTGGGTTTCATTATGCTGTTTTCATAATACATATTCATCCTTCCCTAGCTCCTTTTTCTTTCCCTCTCCCCTCTCCAGTCCCCCCACCAACAGCCTTCTTTTTACAATGTCATACTAATTGTTTTAGGTCTACATTCTGTATATGAATGGAAAGATGTGATACTTTTCTTCCTGACTTTGGCTATTTCACTTTACATGATAATCTCCAGGTCCCACTCATTTTCCTGAAAATGACATAATTTTGTTCTTCTTTATGGCTGCATAATACTCCACATTTTCTTTATCTGTTCATTGGTCATTGGACACATAGGCTGGTTCACAGCTTGGCTGTTTGAATGACACTGTGATAAACACGGGTGTGCAGGTGTGTCCACTGTGTGCTGACTTATGCTTCTTCAGGTACACAATGTGGGTCATTTTAACTGTTCATTTAGTGCACACAAGCACACAAGCTCCCAACGCACAATTGTTTATCCCCACTCCAATACTGGGGTCAGTCACTATGGCCTTCCCAGTATTACAGATGGGGACAAGGCACCCATTGGGGGCTGAGGCTTGGGGCAGCTTTGGGGGACAAGGGGTCTGCAGAGCCCAATGCCAGATTCAGAATGTTCTCCTGGAAACTGAAGGTGCTGACTGTTCTGTGAGTGTCTTGGGGGTCCAGTCCTGGCTCCACCGATGGCTAGACCTCATGCTAGTTGCTTAAAAATCCCTCAGTTTCCTCATCTGTAAGATGGGTGTGTAAAATAGGCTTCAGACACCCAGTATAAAAGGATGAACCAACGTCATCCAATGGGACCAAAAGGCTGTCATCGTCCTGTTGCATAACCCACTGAGTCTTAGCACAGTAGAGTCCTCCTTCTCCCATGCACACCTACATGAAAGCTTTCAGTGTCTCTGTCATTTGCCGTCTAGATTTCTCCCTGGTGTCATAAATCTCTGGTGAACAGTACCATACTAATTTAGTCGCCAGACCCAATCACGTCTCTAATTCATCAGGCACGGTGCAGCCCCAGGGCCTTTGCACAGGCTGATCCTGATAGAACACTCTTCCTCTGGCTTTTTTCTCACCTACCCCACCCGCAACTTCTTGAAAGTTAAATCTCAGCTCCGATGTCCCCTTTTTAGAGGAGCCAGCTCTCACTGCCCCAGCTGAAGGCGACATGGTCTGTGTAAGTCTCTCATCCCATGACCACAGGCTGAGTGGTTGTGTTTGTTCATTTCCTATCTGTTGTCCTGAGGTCCAGGACTGGGTCTGACTCGCGACTGTATTTTCAGCTTCTAGAACATTCCCCAGCAGGTAGTGTGTGCTCAGTAAATCTTTGTGAGGGGAGCGAGTCAGGAACTAGAAGGTTCTGTGCATTGGTGCATTTGGCCCCCACTAAGCCGCCAGGTGGGTGTGTTTCTTTCTCTGGGTTTCAAATCAGAGGAATTTTGCTTCTGCTTTGATAAGCACCACGTCTCCCACCCTGGGCTCCAAGGAACCTGGTAAAGGTTGACTGGGTCCCCCAAGGTTCATGTGTTGAAAGCTTGGTCCTCACCGCTGTACATCAGAAGTGGTGGACCTTTAAGGGGCAGGGCCTGGTGGGAGTTCCTAAGTCATGGGGGGTGTGTCCTTGGGAGGTGTGACGCCCTTTGGTCATGTGATCTCCTCCCACAGCACTCCTGCCATCTGCCATGCGACCCTCATCAGAGCCAGTGCTTCTTGGGCTTTCTAAAACTGCGGGCTAAACAAATGTCTTTTCTGTATAAAGTTAACCTGCCATGGGCATTTTCTTACAGTAACAGAAGATGGACAAATACAGAACCCAGCACCCCTTGCTGAGGGGAGGGGCTTGGCGTGTGGCTGCCATGAACAGTGCTTTACACAGAGCTCAGCTCTGTGACTTTGAGCAAATCTCTTCCCTCTCTGAGCCTCAGTGTCCTCATTGCAAAAGGGGTTGATGACACAACTGACCTGGTAGGGATCTTGGGAGGGGTTGCAATGTGTTTATCTCAGTGTAGCCCATACACAGGAGACTTGTGACACGTGCTGACGTTGCTGAGACTGTCCACCTAGCTTTAACTTCCTGATAGGAAAAGCTGTGTCAATTCTGAGCGGGCCGTAATGGAGCTGCAGTTCCCGCCTTCGCCAGAGGGGGCGCCAGGCGCAGCTCCTCGCACAGGGAAGCCACGCGGAGCCGGGCACGGGGGCCGGACAGGGGCCCGGGCAGGAGGCGAAGCCTCCAGTCCAGCCCCGCACCAGCTGAGTGCAGGTGAGCGGCTCGGGCTGGCACTGCCTGGGGCAGGAGAAACTCCCTGCTGAGCCTGTCCGAAGTCCCGGTCTTACAGAGATGGGGTCACGCTGCCGGCTCCCCTACTCTTCAGGACGATGCTCAAATTCCCACCAGCTTTGTACTCTGCCTGCCCAGATATCGTGAGCCCTCCGCGGGCATGGGTCACAGCCACGACTTCAACAAGCCACGCGAAAACGCCCGGGAAGAGAAATCGTGTCAGTAGCCCCTTTCCCTGACTTTCTCTCCTACGCAGTGTGGTCCCAGCGATGAACATAACATTGCACTGGGTGCCACGAGGCATCTGCAGGCAATTTAAAGTCTAGGGCAGGTGTTCTGCAAGTAGAGTGCCTTCCGGTACAAGGGCCTGGAGGATCTGTGGGTTTTGGTATCCACGGGGGTGTCCAAATGACTACAGAAGTTTCTCCCCAGCAAGCAGCCTTCCGTGAGCACTAACAAATCAACTTCAGCTGGTGCAGGGCTGCACGCCTGTAATCCCAGCTGCACGGGAGACACAGGTAGGAAACTGGCAGTTGGAAACCAGCCAGGACAAAACCTCGAGTCTATCCAAAAAAATACCAAAAGCAAAAAAGGGCAAAGTGTGTGTGGGGGGAAGGGTGGCTCAAGTGGAAGAGCCTGTCTAGCAAGCGTGAGGCTCTGAGTTCAAACCCCAGCACCGCACACAAACCTTCCTCACTGCCCCCAAATTCAGAACCTACCCATTACCCAACACCGTTCTAAGCGCTGTACAAAAATCAACCCATCTAATCTTCAGAATAACCCACAGGGTCACTCCCATATCACAGACCGGGCACAGGAGACCTGCAGATGTCACATGTCCACCAAGATGGCAGACACAGGCTTCGGGCCCAGGTCTGCTCCAAAGCCCTCGAGCTCAACCCCTGAACTCTGCACGACCCTGTAACCTCCGGGGCGGGGGACCCACGGAGGGGCGCTGCTCCCCTAAATGCCCCCGTCCCTGGGGACCGAGCTCTAACCCCGCCTGTGGCTTACGTTGTCGTGGCTCAGCATCACCCCCTTGGGCTTGCCCACCGTCCCCGACGTGTAGATGAGGACGGCACACTGATTGGCCCTCTGGCTCAACATGATCCCGTCCAGCTGTATGTCAGGAATGCTGTTGCCAAGTTCCATGAAATCGTCCCACTGCCGAGGGAAAGGACAAGCAAACGGAGGGGGGGTGTCTGGTTGTCTCCGCGGGCCAGTGCAGCCCCGCCCCACAGGCTTTCCCAATTCTAATTGGATGGGGCTGGCCCCACCCCTGCTCCAGAGGTCAACTCTGATTGGTTGAAGCCCGAGCATTCCATCCGCCTGGGTTACAGTGATTGGTCAGGACCTGTACATGTGACTTCAAGTGGTCCAATCAGAGTGAAGATGAAGGCTGTAGTTGGGAATGCTGGGACGCAAACTGTGTGGACCTGAATGAACCCGGATGTTGCCTCAGGAGCCACTGAACCATCTCAGGACTATGAGGGGGAACCAGGCTGAAAAGGAGCTGAGGACCTGGGAGAGCGCAATAAAGCTCAGGGCATGTTCTCAGTTCCTGGTCCCAGCCATGCCTGAAATCCACCCGCTGGTCTGCAGTTACGTAAGTCCACAAATTATCTTCTTTTGCATAAGCCATTTGGGGTCAGGCTTTCGTCATTTACAACCAAACGCATCCTTACGGACAACAGATGCAGACAAGAGCGCTGAGGCTCGGGAGTGGAAAGGTCCGGGAACGAGGGACTGGCGGGGTGGCTCAAGTGCTAGAGCGCCTGCCTAGCAAGCGTGAGGCCCCGAGTTCAAGTCCCCGTGCTGCAAAAAAAACCCAAAAACCAAAAACCCCACAGGAACTAGCAGGCAAACCCAAGATGGTGTGACGGCAGAGCCTGTGCTTCCAAAACACCCTGGAAGTTGCGCCTCGAAGTGAACTGTTGGCTCCAACGACGCGAGCCTCGCATGGGATGTGCAGAAAGGATCACTGAGCCCAGCAGGGTCAGTCAGTGCGCCATGGCCCCGCCGTCCAGCATTGCCATTGCGGAGCAGCACACAGAAGCCCCTGGGGGACGTCCCTTCCTTTATTGTTATTGTTATTATTAATTTTTTGGCAGCACTGGGGTTTGAACTCAGGGCCTCACGCTTGCTAAGCAGGCGCTCTACCAGTCGAGCCACTCCCTAGCCCTTTTTTTGTTGGGTATTTTCAAGATAGGGTCTCGTGAGCTCTCTGCCCAGGGCTGGCTTTGAACCATGATCCTCCTGATCTCTGTCTCCCGAGTAGCTGGGATTGCAGGCGTGAGCCACTGTGCCCAGCTTTCCCTGTCCTTTCTCTGAGGGACATCCGAGGCCCTCCTCCAAAGGGTGCCTCCTAACCCTTGTTAAAGGGGCCTGCCCCGTTGCATGGCCATGCGTGGCTGGCCTGGGGCAGACGGTAGGTCCACGTGGTCCAATCTAGTCCTCTCTCTTGGATATCTGGGACTGGGCCCCAGTCTGTTGGCATGTGGATGCCAAGCATGGAGCTTGCCCTGGTAATCGACCTGGAACTCTCAAATGTCTTGCCTCAGCCTCCCAAGTGCTGGGATTACAGAAGGACACCACCACTCCTGGCTTGAAGACTGTTGTTTCAACAGGAAGAGCACTGCTGCCCTCTAGAGGGTGGCGGCCGGATGCACTCAGTGTCCCACAGAGCACAGGACAGTCTGCTTACAACAATCATCTGCCCCAACTGTCAACAGCAAAAAGGGCTGAGAAACCCCATAGTCAGGGATGCATCTAACAGAGGAGACTTGAAGTGACCCAAGAATCAGGATGATGGAGTGGCTCAAGTGGTAGAGTGCCACCCTAGCAAGCATGAGGGCCTGAGTTCAAGCCCCAGCACCACCAAAAAAAAGTCTTTGCAAACTGTTGACACGGTGATCACTTGGAACCTCTAAAGAACTGTAATTTGATCCATTGCCTTAGTTAGTTGTTGTCCAGGTATAATGTTTAAATAGACACTTCCAAAGCCAGGCTTGGTGACGTGAGACTGTAGTCTCAGCACGCAAGAGGCTGAGGCAGGGGTAACACTTGAGCTCAGGGATTCGAGACCAGCCCAGGCAAATAGTGAGACTCTTAAAAAAAAAAAAAAAAAGCCAGGCATGGTGGCGCATGCCTGCCACCCCAGCTATGTGGGAAGCATAAATAGGAGAATCACAGTCCAGGCCAACCTGGGCATAAATGTGAGACCCCAGTCAAAAAACAAGAAAAGAAAAAATGGCTGGTGGAGTGGCTCACATGATAGAGAGCCTGTTTAGCAAGAGCAAGGACCCCTGAGTTCAAACCCCAGTGCTACCAAAAAAAAAAAAAAAAACCCAACAACACGAAGAAACTTCTGTTTTCTGAAAGATCTGATGCTGCTGAGTGCTTCAGTTGGCCACAAAAGATTGTCGATGCTTTTTCTGCCACTTTCATGAAGGGAAGATCAAATAAAGCCCACGGCATTTTGGGACTTCTGATTGGAACAGTGGGTACGTGCAGAGTAAAGCTGGGTGTGGTGACTGTAATCCCAGCTACAGGAGGCGAAGGCAGAAGGATCTCACATTCCAGGCCAGTTTGGGCTATGTAGTGAGACCCTGTCTCAAGTGACCAATAAATAAGTAAATGAGTGTATAATAATGAGTAGAAAGATTCCATCCGAGGATGTGGAACAGGAACTTTCGTGCAGCATGGGTGGGAATGCAAGCCAGTACAGCCATTGTGGAAAACAGCACTCAGGTTCCTCAAAATCTAGAGCTAGAACTTTCACGGGACCCTGCTCTGCCACTGCCAGGTGCAATACACAGAGGCCACGAGAGGAGGTGTCAGGAAGATGCATGTGCCCGTGGCTATGCAGCGTTTGCGCAGCAGCCATGGTACGAGCTGCCCGTTGATGAATGGACGGAGAGAAGGTGATCTGCTAGGAGACGGACTGGCAGTTAACATCGTGAAAACAGCTGTGCCACCAGAAGCAATGGAGAGAGATTAGTGCAGTCCCCATCGAAATCCAGTGTCATTCCTCCCAGAAATAGAAAAAGCTATCCTGAAATTCACATGGAAACACAAAAAACCTTGAAATAGCCAAAGCAATCCTGAGCAAAGAGAGTGACACTAGAGGTTTCACAACACCTGGCTTCAATTATATACAGAGCCATGGCAACAAAACAGCATGGCCATGGCACAAAAACAGACATGCGGACCAATGGAACAGAATTAGAAGACCCACACATAAAACCACACAACTACCCCATCTGATCTCTGACAAAGGAGCCAAAGACATACCGTGGAGAAAACACAGCCTCTTCTACAAATGGTGCTGAGAAAACTGGCTATCCACACACAGAAGACTGACACCAGACCCCTATCGCTCATGCTGTACAAAAATCAACTCCAAATGGATCAAAAACCTTAAGGTAAGACCTAAAACTCTGAAACTACTATGGGAAAACTCTGGGAAATAGAGGCATAAGTAATTATTTTCTGAATAGGACTCTAACTGCCCAGTAAATGAGAAAAAGAACTGATAAACGGGACTACATGAAATTTAAAAGTTTCTGCACATCTAAAGAAACAGCTAACAGAATCAAAAGACAATCCACAGAATGGGAGAAAATCTTCACCAGCTATTCAACAGATAGAGGGATTATATCCTGAATATACAAAGAGCTCAAAAATCCAAACAGCAGAACAATTGATCCAGTTAACAATGGAGAAATGAATTGAAGAGACAGTTCTCAGAAGAAGAAATACAAATGGCGAATAAATACATAAAGCAGTGTTCAACATCCTTAATCATGCAAAACATGAATTTTGCAAACCAAAACTCCAGTAAGATCCCATCTCACACCAGTCAGATTGGCCACGATCAAGAAAACAAACAACAACAACAGATGCTGGCGAGGATAGGGGAATCCTCAGACAATATTGGTGGTAATGTACTCTGGTGCAATCCCCTCAGAAATCATTATAGAGATTTCTCAAGAAACTAAAAGTAGAATATTATATGATCCTGCTGTACATGTGCCTCCTGGGCATATACACATGGACTGTAGATCAGCATACATTAGACACCTGCACACCCCTGTTTATCACAGCACTGTTCACAATAGCCAAGCTGTGGAATCAGCCGAGGGGCCATCAGCTGAGGCACGGATAAAGGAAATGTGGTACATATGCACGATGGAGTATCATTCAGCCATAAAGAAGGAGGAAATTATGTCATTTATAGGAAAATGGATGACACTGGAGAGGATCATATTGAGTGAGATAAGCCAAGCTCAGAAAGACAAATTTTGCATTTTTTGCTCATATGTGGAATCTAGACCTAAGTAATGAGGATGATGTAACATGATTACAAAAAGGGGACCGTGGGACAGGGGAGGAAAGGAGAGGGTGATGGGGGTGAACACAATTGAAGTGCATTGCATAGATGCCTGAAAGAGTACAATGTGCCGGGGCACAGGGCCTCACACCTCTAATCCCAGCTCCTGAGGAGGCAGAGATCAGGAGGATCAGTGCTTGAAGCCATCCCTAACAAATAATTTCAGAGACCCTATCTCGAAAACACCCATCACAGAAAAGGACTGGTGGAGTGGCTCGAGTGGTAGAGCGCCTGCCTAGCAAGCATAAGGTCCTGAGTTCAAACCCCAGTGCTGCTAAAAAAAATGAATAAAAAATAATAATAAAAACGGCTCTTTGATGTTTGTAATCAAATATTATCTGATTCACTTCATTTGCAAAGCCCCACCCACTTCCTTTACCAGTCTCCACCCCTCCCTTTAGTCTCCTCCCACTTCCTTGGACAGTCCCCCCGCATCCCCACTTACAGAGTAGAGGTTGTCCCTGCTGGTCGTGGGCTCTTTGTACTGGACAATGGCTTTTACGGTCTCCCGCCTGCTCTCAGAAATCTGAAAGAAAGTTCTCTGTGGGCTTCTGGCCATCAGCCCTGGGAGGACATGGTGGAGCCGAGCTCTCTTCCATGGTGACCCCAGTTTCTCTCCCTTCCCCGTCCTCACTGCTTTGCTCTTTGTGGTGACCAAGTTCCATCCAGGCCTCCTGGATTCTCTGGTCCCCTTCCATGACCTTCAAAGCCAAAGGTGGACAAGACCGAATCCAGCAGGATTCGGCTAACCTTGTTGAGTTCAGACCACAAGAATCCTCCAGGACAGTGGCTGAGAACAAGTTGGGAACCCTTCACCCCGACTAGGACTGTGAGATTCAGGTGACTTTGGTGATAGAATAATTTGAGGCTGTCCTGTGGAAAAGTCACTTCCAACATCCATCTAGCTCACCATTCCTGAGCCCGTGGTGAAGATAGGAGAGAAAGGATGACAGACCAGTGGGTAGAGCAGCCTAACAAGAGTTTTCCGGAAGGAAGAAACAGGCACCCAATGAGCCTGGAACAGTAGCACTGAGGACTACAGAAAGCTCAGGACGGCTGGCAGGGGACCCAAGAGGTTGACACAAGGGGTTTAGGGCCCATCCTCTGGCAGACAGGAGCCTGTGGAGGAGCCTTGCTGATGAGGATCCAAACCAAAGGTCTCCAAGTGCATCTGGACATCCAGTTTGGAACCTTGAAGCTGGGCATGGTACCGCACACGTGTAATCCTAACTACTTGGGAAGCTGAGATTGGGAGGATTGTGATTAGAGGCCTGTCCAGGCAAATAGTTCATGAGACCCCATCTCCAAAAATAACTAGAGGAAAATGGCCTGGAGGAGTGGCTCAAGTGGTAGAGTGCCTGCTTAGAGTGGAGCCCTGAGTTCAGACCTTAGCCCCGCCAAAAAAAAAAAAAAAAAAGTGAAAAGCTCGAGGATGGAGGTACAGTAGAAGTCTGTCCTTCCTGAGGCAGTGCAAGAATTAGGAATCAAAGAAAATTTGGTAGCCCAGAGTGTTGGATTTCACTCAGTCCAGCTAGGATGTTTTTCTAGCTAGGATTTTGTTATGCCTTATTTTCAGAAATGCTAAACTCTCAGCGGCTCTTGACCTCCATGATGAATCCAGGTTTCTCCTCCTCTCAGGATTCTTCTGCCAAATTCAGGAAACTACAGCTCATTCAAACACACAAATTTGAAAACTGTTTTCATGACACTGTATAAAGATGCTACAAGAAGGGAAAAATAAATAAAAGGAGAGGAGCCAAATTTCACTGTGCACAAAGAAAATTCACCTGAATTTTCTCCCAAATTTTTGTGCAAACTTCCCACAAAGCAAGTGAAAATTGTAATCCAGCACTTCAACAACAACAATAAACCTTAAAATACAATGGAGCAAACACCTCTAGAAAGGAAGAGCACAAAGCAAACATACAAGTGCCTGGGGAAGAAGGCCCCTGACACTAGGAAAGCTGAATCAGGAAGCATTAGAATTTAGGAAAGAAATAGAAGAGCAAAAAAGAAACTCATTTCAGAAACAAAGAAAATGACAAGGAGCACAGGCTTGAGACAGCTACAGTTCTAAAAGAAAAAAATGATAAATAGTGGGGTGTCTATGAAGTAACACATAAGTGCATTTTTAAGTGGATGCTGAGTAGTAAGCTAATAGGAATTTTTAATTAAACCCTGCCACCCCACTCTGCTACCCCCAAAAGCAGCTTCACTAGGCTATTGATGGCGCCAAGGAGGACTTTTTATTGAACCTGCTCCTGGGGTGAACCCCATCACCCCACCTTGTCATTAGCATGGGCCAAGAAGCCAAATGACACCCCAGGTCCCCTTTGGTGACTCTGGCAGGCAGTGCTCATAGGGCGTTACCGAAAGGATCTTCTTTAACTGTTGATTGTTTTCTACCAGCAGGACATTCACTTTGGCATGCGAGATGACGTACTGACAAGCCTCGGCAGAGTTGGTGGCATAAATACCAACGCAGAGGCCCCTGGGAAAAGTAAACACATTTTAGTGTGTATTAGTTACCTGGACGCTGCTGTGACAAAAATCCCTGATGTAAACAATGCAAGGGAGGAAGGATTTATTTTGGCTCACAGTTTTAGTCCATCATGGAGGGAAAGCATTGCAGATCAGGGAAGCTCACCTCATGGTGAGGAGAGAGAGAGAGAGAGAAGGGGAGGGGAGGGAAGGAGGGGAGGGAGAGATACCTGTGCTCCCAGTTTCCTCCTTTTCCCTTTTGCTCCATCAGGGCCCAGCCTATGGGATGGTGCCACCCACAGCCTTCCTGCTTAATTGATCCTCTTTGGACACTCTCACAGGCACACCCAGCCATGCCTTTGGCCTTGGCCCAAGATGTCTGGCTGGAACACTAAAAGCACCCCATTTACAGACAAGATGAGGGTCAGGGCAGTGCTGCTGTCCACTGTTACAGAGTAAGGAAATGTTAGCCTTGGGGTTTGAACCCCCCACTCGGCCTTTCTGCTCCCTTCACTCAGTGTTTCCTCATCACATTGGGCTTTGCACATGCATCTGCCAATGGCAAATGACCTCAAGCACATAGCACATAGAATACTTCTCTCTGTGATGTTACTGCTCAAATTTTCAGCCCATCTAAATTTTGTCTTTTTATACTGAGCTATAGAAATTCTTTATTTCGAGCAGCACTGGGATTTGAACTCAGGGCCTCACACTTGCTGGGCAGGTGCTCTACCAGTTGAGCCACTCAGCCAGTCACTAGTATTCTTAGTCTTGATGCTCATATACATCCAGTTATATTTCCTTCTCTTTTTTTTTTTTTCGTGGTACTGGGTTTGAACTCATGGCCTTGCACTTGCTAGGCAGGTGCTCTACAGCTTGAGCCACATCTCCAGCCCTTTTTGCTTTTAGTTATTTTTCAAATAAGTTCTTGCTTTTATGCCTGGGCCAGCCTAAACTGTGATCCTCCTATTTACACTTTCCACCATAGTTGGGATGACAGACACATGCCACCATGCTCAGCTTTTTATTGAGGTAGGTTCTCAGACTTTTTGCCTAGGCTGGCCTCAAACTGCAATCCTCCTGACCTCCACCTCCCCAGTAGCTGGGATTACAGGCTTGAGCCACTGCAGCACACCACAACCTGCTTCTTTTTTGTTTTTAATTGACACAAAACCAATCTGTTAAAGCTTGTTGATCTGACTTGCCTAGGTGTTATTCAGCAGGCTGTAGCAGTTTACGCTGCTTCCAGTCACGTAGCACAGAACATCTCTCAGCTTTCTTGACTTAAAACTTATATAAAAAGTTCCTGTGGGCTGGAGCCATGGTTCGAGGGATAAGAGCGCCCGCCTAATAGGGTGCACAAATACAAAATGCCCAACCCTGCGGATGGGAGGAGTGGGAATAAAAATACAAGTTACATTTTACTTCTGGCCTACAGTAAATGGGCCAATACAAGTCTCCAGGCAACACTGGGAGCCCCACAAATCTATCTGGCCAGCCTAAGAGTCACCTTTTTTTGAGACATCTCCAAATGCCAGCCAAATGCAGCCCCATGGCAATTTCACAAAGGCCTTTTGCAAATTCAAGATTTTAATGGCTTCTACCCACTAGGAGAGACGCTCACAACATGTCTTCTAGAAGCACAAAGAGGTTTAGGTGGGTGTTGTGTAGACACAGTGTTCACACTGTCACAGTTTTTTTTTTGTAACAGCAAAAGGAAATAGAAAAGCTTGTGGCCACTGCCTGTCATGTAACAATACTGTATTCCTGACTGTCTACAGGAGTGTGTTAGGTAAAGAAATTATAGTCTATCTAAATGATACAGTAGCAAGTCTCTACAAAGGAAAAAAGTGTTGACATGGGTAAATATTGACAGTGAGCCAGGCACCTGTGACCCATGCCTGTAATCCTAGCTACTCAGGAGGCAGAGATCAGGAGGATCTCAGTTCGAAGTCAGCCTGGGCAAATAGTTTGTGAGACCCTATCTCAAAAAACCCATCACAAAAAAGGGCTGGTGGAGTGGCTCAAGTGGTAGAATGCCTGCCTAGCAAGTGTGAGGCCCTGAGTTCAAACCTTACTGCTACAAAAAAAAACGGTGAAAAAAAAATCATGTTAGATAGCAAGAGTCTAGTATGAACTTATTTTTTTGAAGACTGCACACATACTGTATACGTGCACATAGTTCTGCATGTACCAATGCGTGCATACACACACAGAGGACAGTTCTGGTAAGGAAAACACGCCATGGATTGTGGTTATTTCTTGGAAAGTGGATTGGGGACCGGAGGAAAAAGTAAGTGTTTTTTCAACCATAAACATGTGTAAGCCAGTGCTTCTCATTGGGGTTACTGCCCTCAGGGGACCCTGGACCAGGGCCAGGTACATCTGTGCTGTCACAACTGGGCAGCTCCTGGCATAGAGTGGGTGGCGGCCAGGGACGCTGCTCAGCACCCTACAGGGCCCAGGACACCCCGCAGAGAACATCCTGGTCTGGTGTCCACAGTGCCAAGAGGGAGAAATCCTAGTGTAAACCAAGATGGCTGATCTTTTTCTTTTCAAGTTCAACACCACACCTGGTGATTTCACACAGCCTTTTACTTGCCCTCAAAACAGTTAGGACAAGAAAACCCTGCCCTCCACGTGGCATCTGGACTGGACAGTCATGACATAGAGCACGACCTGGCATACCATGTCCCAAGGACAAACAATACACAGTCCTTGCACCTTGGGAGCTTAATGTAGGGGGTCCCCCAGTCCCTCCCCCAGTGCCCACAGAGTTCCTCTCCTGTCTCTCCCTCTCTCTCTCTCTCTTTCTCTCTCTGTCTCTCTTTCTCTTTCTCTGTAGAGCCTGGTTTTGGGTGTGAGTCCTGCTGCCCACTGGCTGTGAGAGCCTCAGTTTCTACATCTGTATATAGGGGGTGACAGGACTCACTTCACACTGCTGTCATGAGACATGACAGGACCCCACAACCAGCACGATGCCTGGCACACAACCAGAATCTCTAGATGTTCTCTGTGACCATAATTTTCTCTTGGTGACCCTCGGAGCCCTAGTGTCGGGGACATTTTTCGGTAGAGTGAGCAGTGAGGGTCAGTCTTGCCTGCAACCCGGGGCTCCATCTGGAGTCCTGTTTGCGCCTGAGCCAGCCAAGGGGGCAGCGTGTCAACACCCGCCATGGGCCCAGATGACAGCCTTACCCTGCCATGATGGCCCCGAGAGCCGCGATGAACCACTCGACAGAGTTAAAGCCCAGGATGCCGACTCCGTGGAAACGCTCTAAGCCCAGCTGTGAGGGGACAAACCAGACAGGATGTGACTCAGGGGCACTGCCACATCCAGCCCTGGTTTAATCTCTAGGCCAGGAGAGAACAGGCTCCAAAGTGATCACAGGGCCAGCACTGAGCCTAACATCTGGGCTGTGACACCTGGCAACTATGGGAACTTTGCTTGTCTCCCCTGGAGAGCACTGCATTTACTTCCACTGTGATGAAACCTGTGCAGCATGAGAGTTGCTGTCCTCACCATTTTTGGGGGACAGGCAGTGCTTGGATTTGAACTCGGGGCCTCTGGCTTGCTAGGCAGGTGTTCTGCTGCTTGAGACACACCACCAGCCCAACCTGCTGTTCTTGGGGGGAGGAAACACTTGGAAGACAACTGCCTGTCTCTATTAATCTATTAATCTGTAGGTGGATAGACCAATTTCTAATTAGATCTCTGAGTTTTAGGGGGGACAAGCTTGGAGTTCCAGGAGCTAAGACATTGTTTAAAGGACAACTTTTGTGAGACCACCAGCCCCAAAGGAACCCAAGTCCATGGCCAGCCATATAAAGAAGCATGGAAGAGGACCCTCTGGCCCCAGGCCTGCATGTCTTCAGATGAGGTGACCCTGACTGACTGCTGTGCCTCATGAGATACCCAGAGGCAGAGCTGCCCCTTAAAATCATTCCTGTCCCATAGAAACTGTGAGATAATGGAGGCTTGCTATTTTAAATTGTTATGGGCTAACTTGTTACCCAGCAGTGACTGACTATTACATACAGATACTACATTAACAGACAACTGCAAGATGCAGACCAGGTGTGTATAAATATGCATATTGAAAATGTGCACAACATATACACGTGGTTTATTCCCAAAAGACATGCAAAAAAAAGTGGCAATGGCTGCTTCCTCTACAGAGGGGAATTGGCTCCAGTGGTAGAGTGCCTGTCTAGTACGCTCAGGGCCCTGAGTTCAAAACCCAGTGCCACCAAAAAGAAAGAAAAAAAGGAAAAATTCCACCAATTAATGCCTGTGTCTTTTGTTGCCCTGCGCACTCTGTACCAGATGTGTGCCGCGAGTTTTGAATGAGCAGCGTGTACCTTGATCAAGGCCTTGGCGGCCTTCCGACAGGCTGCGTAGTACTGGGTGAAACTCATCATCTCCCATTTGGTGCTGCTCTTTGACGCCAGCGCCGGATAAGCCCCGAATCGGTTGACTGACTCCTGAAAGAGCTCAGGGATGGTCACGGGCACCTCATGGCCTGGCCCATGTTTTGACAGCCGGAGCAGCACCTCGCCATCACGCTGGGTGGTCCACAGGCTGGGAGGAGCTGCAATAGTCAGGGGCAGGCCAGTAGTTTTATGTAGTTAGTAAGTTGGGGGCAGTACTTGTGTCTTTTTGGAAGTAAGGTGTGAGTGTTAAGTTAATCCCAGTCCTCAGGTCAAATGACACAATCAACCCTGGCCTACTGGGCTTACTTTCTCTTATTTAATTTTTCATGAGCCCTTTCAACAATTTATTATAAGATTTTTCAAGCATTTAAGAAAGTTGAAGGGTTGGTGCAGTGGCTCACACCTGTAATCCCAGCTACTTGAAAGGCAGAAGTAGGAAGATCACAGTTAGAGACCCTATCTGAAAAAGAAACTAAAGCAAAAAGGACTGGCAGAGTGCAAGAGGCAGGACACCTGCCTAACAAGTATGAGGCCCTGAGTGCAAACCCCAGTACTGATGAAAAAAAAGAAAAGAGGAGGGGAGGGGAGAGGAGGGGAGGGAGGGGAAGGGAGGAAAGAAAGCCTGGTGCCAGTGCCTCACACCTGTAATCCTAGCTCCTTGGGAGGCAGAGATCAGGAGGATTGAGGTTTGAGGCCAGCGCCAGCAGATAGCTCATGAGACCCCATCTCCAACATAACCAGGGCAAAATGGACTGCAGATGTGATTCAGTTGGTAGAGCTCCTGCTTTGCAAGTGCAAAGTCCTGAGTTCTAACCCCAGTCCCATCAAAAAAATAAAGTTGAAAGAACAGTATCTCAAACACTCTCTTACTTGCTACCTCCGTGTTAAAAAGCTTTGCCTTTTTTTTTTTTTTGGTGGTAGTGGGGTTTGAACTCAGGGTCTTGTGCTTGTTAGGCAAGCATTCTTACTTCTTGAGCCACTACCTAGTTCTTTTCTTACTTTTTAGCTGTTTTTCAGATAGGGTCTTGCATTTTTGTCCAAGGCCAGCCTCAGACTCCAGTTCTCCTACCTCTGCCTCCAAGGAGCTGGGATTACAGGTATGTACCACCACACCCAACCCAGGGAGCCTGCATTTTGACTGTTACCCATCCCATGAGGAGGGGTGTAAAATTTGCCACTTGTGGCAGGGCTGGTTTCTTTGGAGTCTGTGAAGTAGAACCTACTCTGGCTTCTGGGGGCTGCTGGTGATCCTTGGTTTATGGGCTCTTCCCTCCAGTCCTTATATGTATTAGTGCATATATTGTGGCTGTAACAGAATACCAGAGGCTGGGTGATTTATAACAAAGAGAGGTTGGTCAGGGTTCTGGAGGCTGGGAAGTCCAAGATGGGGCAGCTGCATCTGGTGAGGGCCTGAGCCACACATGACATGGCAGATGGCCACTGGGGTGAGAGTGGCAGAGGGTGCATGCAAAAGAGGTAAAACACATAGGGTGGCCTTGCTTTGTAACAACCCACTCTCGGGGTAGCTAACCCAGTCCTGTGAGAGCAAATGCTCAAAGAGTTTTGGATTTGGGAGCATTCGGACTTTGGGTTTTCAGAATGGGGATGTGTGACTTGTATGTACAGGTTTATTTTATTTTTATTAAAAAAATTTTTTTTGTAGTACTAGTATTTGAACTCAGGACCTACACCTTGAGCTTCTCCACCAGCCCTTTTTTTGTGTTGTGTATTTTCGAGACAGGGTCCCTTGAACTATTTCCCAGGCTGGCTTTGAACCGTGATCCCCCTGACCTCTGCCTCCTCAGCACCTGGGATTACAGGTGTGAGCCACCACACCCGGCTTGTAAAAGTTCTTTTTCAATTGCATCCAGTGATTACATGTGTCTTGGCCAGTGAAGTATAAGTGACTGCTGACGTCACTCCCAGGTAGGAGGTTGAAGAGCCAATGCCCGGCTTGTCCTGCTCCATTCTTCTGCTGCAAAAATGGCCAAAGCACCCAAACGAAGGGCCAGATAAATGACGTGAGCAAGAACCACACTTCTGTGTGCAAAGCCATTGAGGCTGGGATGGATGGGACCTTGTTTGGACACAGGGGCTTTGCAGGTGAGCTTGGTCCAGGATCTTGAAATGAGAGCATCCTGGATCATGACACTGTACCTAATGATTAATGTCCTTATAGAAGGGAAGATGGCACAGAAAGACACACACAGAACACAGGCCCCTGAGGACAGGGACAGGGAGCCACAGTGTGAGTATGTCGGTCCCCTCCAAAATGTGTTGAAGTTGGGAGCCATTGTGGCCATGTTGGGAAGTGGAGCCTTTCAGAGGTCATTAGGAGGGATTAATGCTATTCTCAGGAGACTGGGTTAGCTACCATGAGAGTGGGTTGTTACAAAGCAAGGCCACCCCATGTGTTTTACCTCTTTTGCATGCGCCCCTGCCACTCTCACCCCAGTGGCCATCTGCCATGTCATGTGTGGCTCAGGCCCTCACCAGATGCAGCTGCCTCATCTTGGACTTCCCAGCCTCCAGAACCCTGACCAACCTCCTTTGTTATAAAGCACCCAGCCTCTGGTATTCTGTTACAGCCACAGAATATAGACTAATACATTTAGGAACTGGAGGAAAGAGTCTATAAACTGCAGCCTCCAGAAGCCAGGGCAGATTCCACCTCCAAAAGGAAGCAGCTCTGCCGACACTTGATCTTGAATGTCAGGCCTCCAGAACAGAAAGACCAGCATGAGTTTTTTTAAGATTTATTTTTCAGGAGGGACTGAAAAAGTTATCATTCTTGCCGACATTTAAACACTTGGCAAAGGGCAGCTGTGTGTGGCCACATTGTGCCCTTGACTTTAGCTCTGGTTGTAAGCTTCATCACCATATGATGATCCTATGTCATGATGCCATCATGCCACATGGGCCCCTGGGGACCTCACCTCCACAGACTCCAGATGCTCTTGTAGGAGGGAGGAGGATCAGAAGAAAACAGTCTAGACCTGAGTCCTGAGAAAGTAACAGGGAGGTGGGGATGGCATAGCAGAGATATAAAACCTGAGAAATTTAAACATGAGGAAGGGAAAAAAGTTGCATAGCACTAGAGTAAAGTAGCCAATAAAATTAAAGATAACCACATAGGGATTAGACCTTGCTTTTTGCTTCTGTAACCTGCTTGCAAGGGTATATAAGGTGAGACCCCTTTGTTCTCGGGGCTCAGCCTTTGGATATGAGTCTGCTGAGTCTGTGCTGGCACAATAAAATGTTGCTTCTTGCTAATTGCCTCAAGAGTCCCGTATCTCAGCTAGCAACCTCCCGCAACATTTCTTGGGGGCTCGTTATCTGGGATTGCAGAGATGGTGAGTTATCACCTCCCTTGTCATGGGAGTGCATCCCCCCAGACTGCCAGGAGGAGATCCCACCAGGTGCCAATGGACAGCTTAATCTGGAGGGGGATTCATCCTCCCAGTGAGTCGGGGTGAGGGCCTTCGATGCACAATGGAACCAGCAAGGGAAGGGGAGCACTGTTCATCAGATTGGTAAGAACCCAGGTTCAAATTCAGACATGCACCAGGAGGCAGAAGGGAGGCTGATCACCTCCCAATGGGACACCCTAGTAACTGCATTTTTTGGGGGTGAAACCATGTCTCAGGTTCAGGGAGTGGTATGGAAGTACCGTGCTGTGTGAGAGTATATGAAAATGCAAGCTGAGATGCAGCCCAGCTGTGAAGTGAGTGAGGAGCTGTGTGTCTGTCTGGCAGTCTGGTAATGGGAGGAGATAGGTGGAAGTCAGAGTGAAAACACTCTCTTGGAGTGTATGATTAATAACTTTAAAAAGGGATTTAATGGAGACTATGGAGTTAACTACTTACTAGGTAAAGCTGTGATTAATGAAGTTTACAGAGTAATTGAAAGAAAAAAAAAAAAACCTAACACCCAGGAGAATGGAAAAAGCCAAGAGGCTAAAATTGGTCTTCAAAAACCAGACTTTGCTGTTTATTTCAGTTCAGACAGCAATTTATTGGGCAGACTGAGGAAAAGGCAGAATCTTTCAGTCTTGATGGGTACCTTTGGTGCCCCAGTTTGCACATCTTCACCCAAAATGGGCATCCTGAAGGAGGACTGAGGCTCAGCACTAACTGAGCTCTGGTCAGACTTGAAAGGAAAGGAATGTTGCAAAAGGGTTGTGAATGTAGAGAGGGGAAAATGGAGGAATGGAAACAAAATTGGGATGAGGTCATCATGGATAAAGTAAAGAGAAAAAAGAGAGGGGAGAAAGAGAAAAAGGGGAGAGAGTGAAAAAATTAAATGTCATAAAATGTTTAGGGACAGAAAAGGATGACAGGTTTAATACACTCCTTCACTTGAGTTTTTATGTCTTAAAAAATAAAAGTAAATAAAAAATGATTTAGGATTATTAAAATATGCCAGAAATACTGAACTTGTTGGCACCTTTACTTCTTAGAGAACATAAACAGGGAGAACCTACCTAAAAAGGTAAAAAGAAAAAGAGCAACTTTGACTGTTGCTGGTTAAAAAAAAAAAAGAAACTATTTCAAAAGGTTGGTGCAGTAAGCTTGGTCTGTCATTGAGACAGTCATGAGATGCTTATGTTTCCCTTGCTAATGCCTGGTCAGATTAAGCATCCATCTAATGATGTACTCACAGTGTGTGTGTGTACGTGTAAGCATCTTCAAAATGGTTCTTAAACTGCTGCTATAAGGTTAATATGATACTCAAGGTAACAAAAAAACAGGGTATTTGTTTTAAAGATCTCTGTTATAAACTGCTTAGGCTTTTTACACATAAATATGTAAACATCTTGAGAACAGTTCTTATTATAGAGTCAATGTAAAAATTATTACGCTGTTCTGCTGCTACTTTTAAGAAAACAGGTTTTCAAACTTATTTCAATCAGGTCTCACTAGGATTCAGACATTCAAGGGTTAACACTCCAGCTCAGACCAGAGGAGACAGAAAAAAAAAAAGAAGTAAAGGGGCCACAGCGTGCAGAAATCTTGGAATTTTAGTAAAGAAATGACCTTCGCATGTTTCATTCTGTCATAAATAGAATCTGGAATTTAATTCTCTCTTATAATGCAGGGGTCTATTAACAAATGGCCTTTCTATAAATTGTTTTTATACAAAAAATTTTAAGGTTGCT